TCCATGCCGATAACCCATTCGGCGTAGTTGTCGTCGGCGAGCTTCGCAATTGTGGGCGGTGCCATCGGGGCGGGAGCAGCGGGGAGCGCGGGGCAGTCGCGGTTACGGGGTCGTCGGGGTGCACGGGGTCGTCGTCGGGTCGGTCGTCGTCGGGTCGGTCGTCGTCACGGGTCGTCGGTTCGCGGGATCGTCGAGTGGCTTCGGCCCCACTAGGCAGTGCCTCAAATTATCCTTCGGGCAGAGGAGACGCGTTTGTGAAGAAGTTCGAGGGCAAGCGGGCACAAATGGGATTCGCGTTTGGCCGGTGCAAACGCGTGCCGTACATAGTACATACAATAGACCTTATATACACAGTAGAATAGGGGTAGATAAAGGCGCGGGTATCCGTCGGGGGGCGGGACCTGTGGCGCTCGTTCCGCGAGCTCGCCATCTTGACGCCAGGATTCCAACAAAGAATGCAACGTTGGAAGCGTTGCTGCCTTCCTGACTCAATTTGTCCTAAGAGACCATGTTGTCGGTCGGGACGAGTAGCCTAGAGATGACTTATCATCTTGAAGTCTGGACTAACCCGAAATGAAAACTCACCATCGTCACTTGCTTGCCGAGATGTCACGACAAACTTCTCGGAAGTATGCTGCGAGGAAACGAACCGCTGCGAAGTATAGCGAGGCGGAGTCTTGGGCAATTGCATAGCTGAGTCTGAAATTGTTATACATGAACACGGGACCTGTTCTGAGAGCCATTACCAGGAGGTATCTACCGTTGGTGTTCTGCAATCGTCCCCTACCTGTCAAGTGGAATGGGTCGATCTGAAAAAGCTTCGCCAGCACATCAATGTCGTCCTGCAGCATGGTCGCAAGCTCCGATGCGTCCTTACTACCCAGGTTCGCAGTAGTGAACCGGTCCAAATGACGCTTGAAGTGCATCTGGAACACCTTTCCAGATACTACCGAGTTGATGTTCGACAAGACATCCTGGTAAGTCTCGACGATATCTCGAGGTACGAGGGGGGAGCAGTAGGCGTCCGTCTTCAAAGCGACTATTTGCGCGATGTGTCGAGTCCGGCGGAGTGCCCAAAGAGCCGTGCTGAGATTGGAAAGATCCTGTGTCCATGCAATGTGCATTAGAAAGGCTTGGAGGGTGTGAAACATGGCATCGATGTGAAGTTGGACGCGTTCAGTCTCGTGAGGAGAGTCGACGACCAGTCGCGCAAGGTACCGCACAAGCATAGGCATCGTCAGGAGGTAAGAGTGAATCAATGGTAGACCTTCTGGGTCCTTACGACGGATGAGAGCAGCGAATTGCCTCCCGCTCTTGGGGTTGGGAAGAATTGAGACAACTTTGTATTAACATTAGTAACCGTGGTGTTTGGATTTTGGGAGACGGTACTTACGATGCTCTATGACTTCTTGTCTGAGTCGCGTTCCCCCATCAAGAGCGGAATAAGAGAGCGTGCGACAGACCCGATAGAACGCTGCCTCCGCTTCCACTCCCCGCGAAACGAGCGTCGCCATCGTCTTCAAGAAGAGCGCTCCGAGGTCGGACGTCGGCTCTATGCGCGGCCACCACTTACTTGAAAGTAGCTTTGTAACAGTGCTAGTGTTGGTCCCCGGGTCTCTGGCCACCAGAAGGATGAAGTGAAGTGCACATGGGACCAAAGGTTCCCATCTATTGGAGGTACGATAGACGTCGTCGAGAAGCGGCGAGAGGCGCTCAGATGGCAAATCCCACATACAAGGGATGACGACCTCGTTCAATATGTGGTCATCCAGGGAGATGGCATATGCTGTAGTGGCTAGACGGCGGTCGAGATCAGAGCGTTTAGTCTGTATCTCGGACTTCTCGCGGGCATGCCAGTTGCGGAAGACGTTAGGTCCGAACCGGGGCTTTCGGAAGACTTCGCGGAGAGCCTGCAAGCTGAGGAAGACACCGAGAGCCAGCTGTGATTGATAGAAGCAATCCGCCTTGAAGGCGGGAAGTATAGTTGTAGCGACGGTGAACAGGACTAGGACTCCGATGAGCCCTGTAGCAAGCCCTGCGATGACGATATGAAGAGTCCACAGGAGGATGAGGAGGCCGGCCAGGAACAAGAGGAGAGAGACCTGAGGAATGATTGGGAGGAAGGCAACTATCTCCACGACATGCCACTTCACGAGGGACTCGTAACGATATTGTCGCAGGCGGGCGATTTCATGGGAGTTGCCCGATAGTCCTAGGTCGTATTGGTGTAGCCATTGCTTGACCATGATAGCTACGGAGGAAGCGGAGAGCGTGCCGATTAGCGATGCGAACCAGAGAGCGTTGATCCAAATTGCTGATACAGGCGCGGAGAACGATGGAGAGACAAAGGTTGCTGCGGTAGAGCTGATACTTGTGCCGTTGATTGTGAAACTGCTCAACTGGGCAGAAATCCTATTAGGGCAGCCGCCAGTAATTCCGAGTTGTCTTGTTGGAGTAGAGCATACGATTGAACGTTGAAAGCTGTAAGCACAGCAGAGAATAAGCCGTTCTATATAGGTTTCGCAGAAATTCAGATTCTACATGCTCACAAGAGCGGAGTAGCACTCACGAAGACAAGGTGCATGTCAATTCCTTCCTTCCATCTCGATACCATCTGGTCACAATGCTGCTGGACTGTGTCGGAGCAACGCTCCCATGCGCGAGATATCTCATCCTCATCAAACGGACAGGTGGTGGGAATTTGATTCGTCCGTAGCCTTGCGCCTGGTATGTGCTCAGTCTGATAGATGAGTCAGACGGAAGAAAATCGACATGTCAATCGACAACGCACCTCTGCAGAGTAGCCGGCCGACATGTTCTCTGGAGTGGAGGTATGGGAGCGGACCAGCGAGCCTGAGCTCAGCATTTATACTGGTGCTCGGGACAGATCGCACGATGTCAGTGAGCGAGCACAGGATGGAAACCTGACTACTGGGAGTTGTGCATACAGCGGTTCCAAACACCGGATCCGACAGATAGGAAAAGCACTAGCTTCCTTTTCGAAAGATTGTAGCGCTACGTTCGATAGCGTCAAGCGGCAGTAAATTGAGGCAGTAACGTACGTGAGAGCATAGCGCAGATGCGAACACTACATATAGAATCACGAATCGCCAGCTAAGCAAGCAATGCAAATCAGTACGAATTGTGTCCTGATACCTACAGTAGGTCTATGCGTGTGGAGGAACCCATGCTTGCGTGTCATGAGTTTCCTTTGTCCTGATCATAGAGAGCTCCTCGAGCAGCGTCTGGCGGCGGTACTCCAAGCGCGAGTTGGGCACATTGGTCTGTCAGAGCCGTGTGGCAGTGAGAACACTGGCAATGGAAGAATGTCAACGGATGCCGAACCTTGTTGATATCGTTGCCCGCAGCACCAGGAAGATACCAATTCTGGCCCAGCCAGTGCCGCTTGACCTCCATCTCAAATCCGCTTTGAACGACTGAATTGCGTGCAAGCTCAGCTAGAGAGCTTTGTGGGAACTTATAGATCTACATGCGAGGCGGCGACGGTCAGCCAGTGGCTACACGGGTGAGGTGTTTGTCCTCAACTCACGTGGGCTGCAACGCTGTACTCTTCCAACAGAGGTTCCTGATAGAATGTCCGTTAAGCTTTGATGGATAGAGGTCTGCATAGAGTGCCAAACCTTGGTGAAGTGAAACTGCAATGGGTCATCCGTACTTAGGCTAACATTCAGGCCGACCTTGAAAAAATCGGGCAGCGGGTTCCGCTCGTACGTCAAGAACAGCGCATTGTTGCTAAGAGGACTCATCGCGAGGCCGATCTGCTTCAGATAGAACAGATATTGCAACGCAGGAACCTTGCGCAGGAGAATGCCGTGGGATATCGAGTGGGCTGTCAGGTAGGCAGAAGCAAGATGCTCGGGGTCTCCCGCTTCGCCGCAGTGTGGCCGGAAGACAAATGTGCCTGAAAAGCGGTTGAGCTTCGCATGCCCCCGACGTCATAACCAGCACACGACCTACAAAACCCTCGTGCATGACGCCATTGGTTGAGGCTGACGATGTTTGCGTACATGTAGTATACCCTACACGAGCATGTAGCGTGAGATTCGCGAGGCGGATACATTGTAAGCACGCGCACCAATAAGAGTACGGGGGTGATTCTTTCGTGTCCCAGAGGCGCGGGTAGGGGAACTTCTTATGGAACCGGCGTTCCGTCTTTGACTCGTCGTCCACAGTGTCGAAACCGATGACGCGTTGGAGGAAGACGTGAAGCTCGGGATGAGATGACGGGTCCCGTGTCACCTCGTATAGAGGCTGAAAGACGTCTGACAAAAGTCAGGTCAGATGCGCAATTTCCCGTGAAACGCCGATACGACACTCACTCCGTACGATATCTTCAAAGGTCCCAATTGAGCCGTTTTGTTTGTACACATCATAGAGACGTGGTATCTGGATGAGCCAGCGAACATTGTGCGAAAACAGCTTGTTGCTGACTATCCATTTCGCAAGCTTGTCCCATTCGTCGAGCTGCCTGCCGTAAATACTGATTCTCCATTCACAGTTCTGTGCGAGGTGTTCGGAGCTGCATCAATTCGTGACCTACACACAATCACTTACTTGGTACTTGCTCTGCTCGAGATCCGTCATCACCTCTGAATACTAACGCTAAGTGAATGTGGGCAAGATACACTGTGAACACGCACCTTGGGTCAGTTCGGCGAGGTAACGCCCCTGAATGTAGTTGTCTGTTTTCAAGAAGATCTCCCTCAATCTAGACTCGCCGATGGGATTGTACTTCAAATTGAATTTATCGAAGCGATGGAAGGAGTCGTTGTGAGCGTGCATGTCTAGAGTGTCGATGGAAAGGTCATATGCCGTGAGATTGAGACTCTGGAACACTTGTTCCAAAGTTAGCTCTTTCCCGTCTCGGAAAATCACTACGTCCTACGGAACATATTGAGACGACCGAATCAGTCCCACAAAAGCTGACGTACTTGTGGGCTACGTTTCATCTTCGACTTGATGAAGCGGAGCAGGTGCTTCTGGTTCATGCTGCTGGAATGATGGACATGGGTGTCCACTTTACGGACGTTGTAAAAATCACTGCGCCCCTGGTCAATGACACGGCAATGACGCAAAGTAAGTTTTGCGTACCGGTGCGGCACGCGCTTCATCTCCGCCAGCTCCTGCTGCTCGTTGAGAAGCGAGTACATCGTGAATTTGCTGGTCAAGTAATTCAGTCTTCTGAAAGCAAAGCTCTTGGTAGGACCGTCGCAGATGACGGCGAGAATCTTCTCTAGGTCCACAAAGTATTCTCGGATACTAGGCACATCATATACTGGCCGCTTGCCTTTATCTGCAATGACGTAAGAACCAGCTTGTGACTGTCAACCTTGACGACGTTGCAAAGCCTCTCCGCCCTTAGGCCGCAACTGAGTAAGCTGCCTGAGCTACGACGACAACGAATGGTGGCGTTAAAGCGCACTTCATTGTAGCGGCGAATGTGGCAACACAAGAACGTGCAAAACTGAGAGAATGCGACCAACCTTCGGCACTTGTATACACCTGGTAGACGCCCTTCTCATCTATGGCGAAGTCCATGTTGTCGGCGCCAGGCATCTCACATTCCGAGAGCTCGAAGTCCTCGTCGTCGGCGACCTCATAACCGGCATTGCTGGGAACAACGGTACCCTTGCCCTTCCAGTGCCAATGAGGGGGAGGGGGACGGGGGTAGATGCGCCACTTCTGGAACGGGGTCTGCGGGGGCGGACGAGCTAAGTAGTCCGCGTCAGGGCGCACACTAGACACACCGGCGATGTCCTCGTCCAGCCCAGTGAAGAGGCCGTCATAGTCGCGCGGGTCAAATCCAAGCGTCTGGCCGGAGCGCGCGATATACTTGTCGCGCAGGTTGAGACACTTCTCGAGCCCCTCCAGAATGGGGATATTCTCCACAGGCATCGGTGACTCTGTATAAGAAACGCAAGGGATGTCCAGCCTCGATTCTTGTCAAGTACAGGGCGCAGACGTACCAAGAATCGTGGCGCGAGTCTTGGGATTGAGTGGGCTAGCTGGCCGAGCGTCTTCTGGCAGAAGTCCGTCCCAGGCTGACGCGGCAGCGGTAGCGGTAGCGGATATTGTAGAAGGCTCTGGACAAGCGGACAAAGCACCGTCCGCTTGCTGCGCTGTCGGGAAAGTATTGGGAGAGCTGAGCAAAGAGGTGGGGCGAGAAGCAGCGTTCACATCGGAGCCTCGTCGGTGAGCGAGCAGCTTTTCTTCGATCTGTTTGGAGGTCATTGGGCTGCATGCTTAATGCATGTACAGATGTAGGAACCGATGCTACGTACATGGTGCAAGTGCTTCTCCTCCGTGTAATCAAAGAAGCCTCCTGCTGCGTCGACCATGTGTGCTGGAGGGGATCGAGACTCCTCCCGAGAGGTAGGAGAAGACCGGTGGGACTGCGAGCCCGAGTCTGTTGCGTGAAGGCGCAAAGCGGAGATACTGGGTAGCTGCGACATCGCGGTCAGAAGGTAACCGGATGCTTATTGTCGATGGAGTCTTGGAAAAAGCAAAAGGTGAACTAGATATACAGTAAACAGCTGCCGAGTCTGTCGGCGAGGCGCAAAAATGAAGCCGCTGGTCCGGGCCTGGCAGCCGAAATGCAGTGCCGTCAAAACAGCTTGAGCGCAAGGATGGCAATTTCCCAAATTTCCTTTGCGGACGAACTATCGTGCACACACCATCCTCGAACGTAGATCCTTGCCAAATGAAAGAACGTGTGTCACACGCGTCATACGGTATGGCTACATTGACGACATTACACAACAAGACAGCGCAGACAGCATCTCCACGATCCCGACGATGCCCCGTACGACAGACAGACCACAGCATGTCGAGCACGTCACAACTCTATTGTACACGCTCTAATCCTCAATTTCGAGATCGCCGTAAGGCTTCGCGCGGAAGTAGCTCTCCTCAAAGTGATGTACCCGCACAAAGCCGTCCTCTCCGCCAGACGCGTAACAATCGCCCTTCGGTGAAACAGCGATGCTGCAAGGATGAGCGTTGTCAGACAAGCACAATCGAACACGAGGAAGCGTCACCTACGTATTCACAGGACCGAAGTGACCCTTTACACGTCCAACCTCCTCCTCGAGAACCTTGTGCCAGAACCTGGTCTCGAATTTTCCCTGACGCAGCGATGTTGTCGTGACGCTCATGGCGTCCTGGCCACCGCCAAGGAGAACGTACGGCTTGAGCGGTGCGAGGGCAGCGCTATTCAAAGGCGTCTCCGTCACGTACGTCTTCAAAACAGTAAGCGTACGGGTCTCGTGTAGCTACAGGTGAGGATCAGTGCCAGTCGGGGAATCTAACTTAACGTGTCGGCGTACCCGAGCTGTCTTGTCCTTGCTGCTCGTGATGAAATACGAACGGTCTGGGCTGAGTTGCAGATCGGTCACGGTGTCGCGGTGTGCGTGCTCGTTGGTTTTGATCTCGTCGCCCGTCTTCGCGTCGAAGAGCGCGACCTTGCCTGATTCGTGTCCGGTAATGATGATATCAGGTCGGTGCGCAAAAGTACAGACAACGGCTTTAGATCCAATGGGGTTGAACATCGACACTGGTTCCTCGTCCTCTGTGGACAATGCATCAGTACCATGGAGGGGGAAGGACGCAGACGTGAACACAAGAGTATACGATGAGCCACCACCTATCAGCTCGTAGGTGCGTTTGCGTTGCATAGTACGGGCAGGAAACCGCAACTACCACAAGCGATGGACAGTCCCTCGGTTTCTCCACAAGCGTTACAGATGTTCATTATCAAGCCAGACTCACGTGTTGTACCATCACCGTCTCGGTTGATGTTGAATATCCGCACAGCGCCTTGGTGGCCCATCCGCTGCTCCGTGATGCAAACAACTTGGTCGTCATCTTCGCTGAACGCTACCCGCTTGACGGCAGTGGGAAACTCCCAGGAATACAAGCACTTGCCCGACTGAACGGACCAGAGCTTCATCGTGTTGTCGGCGGAACCACTGATGAGGAAGCGTGACTGGGCTGTAGGATGACAAGCCAAAGGACAGAGGAGGGCAGCAAAAGGCCGGGAGGTCGAAGAAGATAGCAATACGTAGGTTTAGTCAAGCAGAGAAGAGCGAGTGAGACAGACAACGAGAGCATTTGGTGGACCGCGAGGGGGGTTTGAGGAGGAATGCATTGGCTGATTGCTCGCAGAAAGGATGCTGAATACGCACAATCGACATCAATCGTCCAGACAGCTCCGTTGTGCCCATCGTACGTTCCTAACCGCTCTCCATTATGCGTGTACCAGACGTTGATGACAGAATCTTTGGAGCAGGAGAACAGGAGATCCCCCTCCCTATTGAACTTGATCTGAGTGAGCGAACGCTCATGGCCTGCGATTGAATCAGAACGGTCAAGACTTGTAGTTTCTCGATAGTGATCGGAGTTACAACAGACCTTGAAGAAGGATAGGCCTCTGTTCACACCACGAGTCAGTACCAAATACCAAAGATATTCCGACAGCCAGAGCTGTACATACCATTTTGTCTAACAATCAGCGGAAGGAGGTATAAGTTATGGCAGCGACTATGCTGAGTCCCGTTCGACGCCTCCAAGTTTTCGCTACTCGGCAGTTTCCGGAGTTTCCTTTTCTGGTAAGCCGCATGACCCGTTCAGAGGCCACCGCAGCACCGTCGATTCACGACGACGACGACTTCTTCATTTCTCTTTCTCTCTGGTCGTCGACGACCTTGCTTGCGAGCCCTGCATGACTGAACTGAGCTCAAAGCTATCCTTTCAGCTGGCGTATTTCAGTGACTATCAGATGTCTGGCTGTTGCTGCGTTTGAATCCTATCGAACGCCCTCAATACCCTTTGCCCGCGGGATTGGTGATTTGCCAGGTCTAAGCTACCTTGAACCCTGTTCTACGAGGACTACCAGTACAACACCAGCATCAGGGATCCGACTGAGCGACGTACAGGCCTAGTACAAGGGTCTTTCAGACACTCCCGGTGTGCTCCCTCCCTATCGCCCGCTGTATCCGCTTCACGTCTCCCAAGGGCAGTGGAGATGTTAGAGCTCGATCCTCTGTTATCTACCCTGCGTACATCCTCCCTTACATCAGAACCGCCACGCAAGCGCCAACGCACCACCGACTGCGAGCCCAACGTCGCCACTGCTGGCACTAGTCCCGCCCCGAGCCCAGGCCCATTTGGTGATGTGGCCACTTCTACAGACGCCACCGCGTCAAGATCATCTTCTGCATTGGGCTGGAGCTCGCGCTTGCATACAGCCACGTCGCCCACGGGCAATACTCCCGAGTCAAGCGACGTACAATTGGGCGCTTCTTTTGTCGGGAGTGGGAGCGCCCCACCCTCTGGCGCTGTTGCCGAGAGTGTCAGTGTGGATGCTGCACGGAGCGGTGCGACGTGTCAGGGCGACTTGACTTTTGTTGTTCCTAATGCGCGCTTCAGGACTGGTGGACGAGGCAATGCCGACGGGAGCCCGCCGAGTATGAAAGGCGGGCGCAAGGCGAGAGCAAAGCAGGGTGCGCCCCGTTCATCATCAGGTACACGTGCGCCACAGTTCTAACCCCCTCGGCAGAATATCCAGACGACGACGGCGGGATGAATCGGGAGCCCATTCAGTCGGAACCTCGCCGCCACCAAGTGTCCACAGAAGGTGCCTGTGCGAGCGATCGCGGCTTCCACGGTACCGAAGTAGGCAGAAGTAACCCCAGAGACGCGGCAGGTGGAGCCCGTGCGATCGCTGCCTCCAATTCGCCCATGGCGATGCGTCGGCAGCACATCGTCGAAGCTGTGGAGGGACCACACCAAATCGCTGGGCCCGAGGGCGAAGACAGCGGCCGAGACCTAATGCTGGTGCGCGATGGGGAGTTCTACATCAACAGCGCGGACTGCGTGATACGCGTGGAAGACACGTTGTTCAGGGTGAGTGTGGCGCTCCTGTCTTCTACTTACTCTTTCTTCGGAATCTGCTCCTCAGTTCTCCGTTTGGTCCCCCGAACGTATGGCACTGTTGCTCCACAGTCATACACGTTGCATTAGCCTCTCCTTCCATAACTTGATCCTGATCCCGATGCCAATCTCGTTGTCCGCTGTATGATCGCTCAATTTTACTTGCGGCTGGGGTTTGTCCAGCGCCGTGTGCGCTGTAGGTCCACCGTTATTTCCTCGGCCGGGACTCTTTCGTCTTTCAATACATGTTCAGCATGCCTTCCGAAAGTCACGCACTTTCTCGCAATATCTTGGAGGGATGCTCGGACGAGAATCCTATCCGACTCTATGGAGAGTCTGCGGAGCGTTTCCGCGCACTGCTCTCCGTAATTTACGATCTGTACGTATTGAATTTACCTGTCTCTGGTATTGTGCCGCTGATAGCTACTGGCGGGCACAAACCGCAACTTTTTTTCCTTCATAGACCGCTACAGCTTCAAGTATACAACACCCCGGCAGCCAACGTCGACCGACTACTGACGATCGCGGAGGTGACGATCAAGTACCACTTTGTATCCATCGAAAAATGGGCCTTCGACGCTCTCTACAACGCAATATCTGGCCTGCACGGCCCTCCGCAGGAACGGTATCAGCTCGGCCACTGTTCCTCCGCATGGATGAAACGTCTCCTCGAAGTCGCCCTCCTGTGCGGACACACCCGGCTTCGCGATTACGTGGTGGAGCGTTGGGTCGACCGCATCGCAGCCCGAGACCTCCGACCTGTGCATGCGCTGGAATTCGCTGACAGGAGCGGGATCAAACGACTGCAGGGTTATGCATATTACGTCCAGCTTCTCGAGATGGGCGACGGCTTCGACCCCGGCGCTGTCGAAGACGGCGAACAGCACGCACGCTCACGCCTGGCCCTGGCCGAGGCCGCAGCGGCCGGCCCGACCGGGGATAACGGCAACGCTTCCCCCGCACGCGCACGCGCACGCACGCCGGCCGCGCTCACCAGCGCACAGAGGCGGCGGCTGCTCTCCAGGCACTGGTCGCTCTGCCGGCTCTGGGAGACGCTCCGGGCGAGCGCGCCCAAGTTCGAGCGGCCGGACGGGTGCACGTACCACCAGCACGGCTGCGTGTCGACGTGGACGCAGGTGTGGCGGGACGTCGGCGCGGCGGAGCCGACGCTCAATCACCCGCCCGGGGACGTGCTGGGGCGGCTGAGGGCGATGGAGGAGCAGCTGTGCACGCATGCGGACTTGTCGTGTGCGCTGACGCCGCTGTGCAGGCGGCTTGCGCTGATGGCGCTCAAGTCAACTGTCAGGGCCGTGGAGGAGAGCCTGGCGGGCCATTTTGCGGATCTGACCCGGGAGAGCTTGCTGGTAAAAGCGACCGAGGAGGAGACGTCCTGAAGCTGACCTGACATGTAATGTATCACGTACTCTTTCCGTATACGTCCCCCGCGTTCTCAGGCTAGCTTTCGACGCGCTCAGCAGCTGGAATGTGCGATATAGCGTGTATGGTCGTCTGTACTATATTCCTGGGGTACATATCCCGAGCTGCCTTTTCGAGTGGAAACTGCGGACCAGACGCCTGGCATGGGCATCGCGGTGATAGGCCCGAAGCCCTGCCTCGAAATGGGGGACACGGAGCGCAGGGACCGCCGATGACACCAATCGGAGGTAAGTAGTGGTTTGCATGTCGCTTGCACCCCCGGCGTCTGCGAGACGAAAACAGGTGACTTGGCGGAGGGGACAGGCGTTTAGTAGCCGGAAGTGGGGCCGGCCACCTGGGGAAGGACGGAACCGCAGGTTTGGCAGGCGATGACATCATGGAGTTGAGTATAAGTGATCGAATTGAATCTGTGCAGATCTCTCTTGTTGCCAACGGGCGCTGCGACAGGTCTGTGAACCGCGACTTCTTGTTGACCCTTGAACGCAAATGGGTGGGAGTGCTGCTACCAATCCAGCACGGCTCCTGTGGGGAACGCGAAGCTTACGCGCGAACAGACTCAAGGGACGGCGTTGGAATGCGTCACTCGGTTGAATGTTAAGGAAGAGAACAGCACGTCGACATCGCTCACATGGGATCGCGGCCACGTTGCGGGGTGTCAGCGCACCCGACCTTTTTTTGGAAAGAAAGAGGATAGGATTAGTAGATGGGAGAAGAGGGTGACGTCAGAGGCAGGATTAGCGGTTCGGATTGATGGCTCTGAGCAAGCTGTCAATATCAATCCTCGGGGGTCGACCGGGAAGCTGTGCAGCTGCGTCCTTGCCTGGGACACTGAACCTCCCCACCCAGTGGCTGCGACCCCGCGGCCTCCCGTCCTCTCGGGGCTGCTCGCGGACAAATGAGGGCTTGTGACTAGCCGCCTGCGTCCTTCGCGGGGCCCTGATCCACATCCCCCCCCAATTTCCACCCCTCATTTCTCCACCCCGATTACGCTTTGCGGCCAACTGACAACGTACGATCATGAACCCCTGTCCTGCCGGCTACCCACCGCCCAACTCATAAGCACCGGGGGCCACAAGCCGTGGCCCGCCAACCAGTTGCACGCTCTTCTGTCGCGCACCCACAACTTCTAGTTCCTAAAGTCCGTATAACATACGTCTCCCTAGAGTCACCGACCCTCCATCCAACATTGCCCCGCTCCACTCGGCTACTGCCTCCTCCCCGCACCGCACACACGCAACTCCAAGTATTCAGTCTAGGACATATCATATCATGCGCGCGACTTTCCCCAGTGCGACCCCCGCGCGCGATTTAACACCCAAACCGGAGGCGCAGCTCCGACACAGCCCAGCGTCCGCTGCATCTTCGCATCCGAGTCCCCACTCGCACTCGCACTCGCACTCGCACTCACACTCGCATTCAAACTCGCCGCGGCGGGCTGTGCGTACCGTGGAACCTTCACCACGACCCTCTTCCTCGAACGACTTAAGGTCAGCGCACATTTCTGGGACAAGCGAGTCGCCTCCGCAGCTTATTAGGCCGTCGCTGTCAGGATCTGAGTCTGAAGGTGAGTGCTAGTGGACTCGCGTGCTGGGAGAGCAGGTCTTGAGTGATTGCATCTGCGCGTCATGGCGGGCGTCGTGTCGGGCAAATGCTCATCACCAGATGGGGGAAGCGCGCGGCCCGGGCTGCGGGCGAGGCCACGTGACCGGATCTGGGATCTCAGGTGGCCGATGCGGGGGCCGGAGTCCGAAAGCCACGCGGCAAGGTTGGGCTCTGGTTGGGCACGATTTTAGTTGTCTAAGTAGCCGCTGCCGCCGCCGCCGCCGTTGTTCCCGTTGAGCTCGACTCTCGGACGCTCTTCAGATCTCGGTCTGCAGGCCCTGGCACTTAATCCCCGCCAGTGTCACACTCGTCCGCCCAGTCCTCGGTCTCGCGTCTTCAATCATTTATTCATATCTTTTCTTTTTCACCCAAATTCTTTTTGACATGTCGATCGCTCACTTGCTCGTCTAGACTCTGCTACTACCCCTACTCGCCTGCCCGCGAGCCTTCCCCCCCGTAAATCCCCTCTTTTTCTCGCTCCCCCGTCTTCTTCGCTCACCCCCCTCATTGCCCCTATAGTCCTCAACGTTGTATATGACGCGTCCACCACATCCTTTCACCCGTCCAAGCCGGCCGTTACATCGTTCGAGAATAGTCCAGAACGGTACATCGATCTCTTACACCTCCACGACGACGGTAACTTTTATATGTCGGGGGATGCGTCAAGCTCGTCGACACTGAATATGTCCGATTCACGCTCCGCGGGCTCCACTTCCGACCAGGTCAGGCAACCGCACCGTGGCAGAGGTATGTCTCAGTTTGGCCAATCTCGACGCCCTCCAGCGCGCCCGGTATTTCCAAGCCAGACGCCTTCCCATCCCTCTCCTATACCTTCTTCTTCCCGAGAAAACCGCGTGGGAGCCTCTGTCGCGGCTCCCTCCTTCCAGAGTCCTCCACCACAGTACACCTTTGGCCAACGAGGAGCATACCCTGGTCAGTACGCGATGTCCCAGCCGCACATGGGTGTGGTCCATCCCTCGCAGCCTCAGTTCGCATATCCTCCGCCTCACCCGGGCCTTCACGCGCACGACCAATCAATGCTCAGCCCGCCGCAAAATCAGCTCATGGCGTACTCTCCAGGCGCGCACCCTTCCATGATGCAAACACACTCGCAGGTGTACCCATACCCGCCCCATTCAGCAGAGTCTAGTTCGTCGTCCAGCCGCAGTCACTCCTTTGTTAGCAGCCCTACTGCATTTCCGCTGTCCTCACGGTCACAGGTCCACCCCGCACATCCCTCCCCTCCGCCGCAATCTCCCTTAGCTCCTCCGACGTCTGGTCCTCCCCACTCCATCCCTACTTCCTTGCCCCCTCACTCCGCCTCATTTGTTGGTCAGCCGCCGTACTCGCCTATGCGATATTCCACCCCGCCGTTCGCCTACCCTCCACACTCCTTTGCCCATTCGCCCTCCTTGTACGCACCGTCATATCCCTCGCCGTACCCTCAGCCGTATCCCCAGCCCGGTCCGGAACAGGAAAACCAGGGGACGTGGTGGTATCTGCCACCGCACCCCGGATCAGGACAGTTCGAGTCCTTTCAGAGTCCATACGCCATGTCATATAGCCCGACCAATACACGCGAAGTTGAGCACCCCCAGTATCGACCACACGGATCATCGCCTGTGGCGTCGACCCTGTTCCCCATGGCACCTCCTTACCCGCCACGGCCAAGTCCGGGTCACAGCTCGTCCTCTGCGGCTCAGAGTCCGTATTCACCCACAGCGCCGAGCCCACAGCTGTCTGCGTACGGTCCGCGCGCGAGCGAAACGCCGGCAACGGTCCAGCAACCAGGACGGCCGCCCGACCACACGCCCATGGCATCAGGGATGTCAAGCGCGGCGAGCAGCCAACACAGTGCAGAGCGTCCGCCCCCGGTACGGCGACCGTACCACCCAAACCCGCCCGCGCACCGTTCGGAGTGGGTCATGTGGGCGGGGAACGTCCCCTCTGACGCGACAAAGGAGGAGCTCTGGCGGTTCTTCAACTCGCCGCCTTCTCCCGGGTCCCAAGTGTCCACGGGCGCGCAGTCTGCCGGGGCACAGTCGACGCAGAGTGCGCCGGCGGGACCGGTCGCATCGTCCGCGGCGTCGACGACGGACTCGTCCACGGCGTCCACGGAGTCCGTCTTTGGCGGGGTCTCGTCCATCTTCCTCATTCTGCGCTCGAACTGCGCCTTCGTCAACTTCCACTCGGAGGCGCACCTGCACGCGGCGATCGAGCACTTCAACGGCGTCCCGCTGCGGTCTGACGACCCGCGCTGCCCGCGGCTCGTCTGTCGGGTGCGCGGGCGGGAGGACGACCTGAAGTCTGGGGTTGGGGGCCAGCGGATGGCGCATGTGCACATCAGCTTTGCGCGGGAACAGCGGGAGCGGGAGCGGGAGGCCGCGCGGCGGCGCTCTGCGTCGTCGTCGTCGTCGGACCAGATCACGACGCCGTCGCCGAGCTCGCCCACGGACCCTGCGGGCCTGCTTAGGGGGCTGTCGATATCGAGCGACGAGGAGGCGGGGACGGGACGGCGCGCACGGAAGCCGGAGCCACACTCGAGCAGCTCGGGGTCGTACGCGTCGACGAACTCGAGCATATTGACCGCGTACTTTCCCAAGCGCTACTTCATCCTCAAGTCGCTGACACAGGTATTTCCGTCACTCGTCTCTCTCCGTTGTGTGGTTTTTTTTGACCGACCTGGACCGGGCCAGTTCGACTTGGACTTGAGTGTGGAGAAGGGCCTGTGGGCGACTCAGCGCCACAACGAGGGGATCCTGGACCAGGCGTTTCGGACGAGCAAGGAGGTGTACCTCATCTTCAGCGTCAACAAGTCTGGGGAGTTCTACGGCTACGCGAAGTGGGTGTATCCATTGCTTTCACTGTCTCTAGTTCCGTGACTGACAATTTTCTCTGTCGGCAGGATGGCAGGACCTATCATGCGCGGAGAAGCACGGGTCTCTTGGGCCTCCCGGACGGACTCTCCCCAGCACCGAGCGTCTCAGGAGACGCCTCGCGATAGCCCCATGGCCACCGCCCGCGCGGGAGAGACGGCGTACTTCTCGCCCAGCGAGAATCGATACGGCGAGTCTCCCTTCCCGATGTCCCCCGAGACGCAGAAGCAGGCGGCGACCTCCGTGCCGCTCTCGTTCTCGCAGCAAGTCGACCGTAACGCTGCCTCCGCCCCTGCGGTGCTGCACCGCCCTCACCGTGCGCTCAGTCAAGCCACTCCGGAGGATACTCAGACGCACAGCTACGACGGGTTCAGCATTCGCCCCGCCATCCCTGCGATCGCTGGCCACAAGCAGCAGTCGGAGCCCGGGGGCGTCGAGCTCGATCGGATGGCGCCCATCCGCGCCATCCGCAATCCGCGCGAACGGGTCGCTGAGGCCGTCAGGACGCTGGAGGAGTCGCCTTTGCACACCGTCGCCGAGGAGGACGAGCGGCCGCATCTCGAGGAGGATCCAGGGAAAGGAAAGGCGGTCGATCGGACCCCGTCTGGCGCCGCGCCCACCGCCTCTGCGCGAGAGCAGGAGGATGGCCCTGCGTGGGGCGAGTCCTTCAAGGTGGAGTGGATCCGGACGGAGAGGCTGCCGTTCACGCGCACGCGGCACCTGCGCAACCCCTGGAACCACGACCGGGAGGTCAAGGTCTCACGAGATGGGACGGAGCTCGAGCCGACGGTTGGCCAGGCACTGCTCGAGGAGTGGGACAAGCTCGAGCAGCCGCAGCCGCCGTCCGCACCCAGCGGACACGTGGAGGTCGGCCGACATCTGCAGGGCAAGGCTTCTATCTCGGCGGACGTCCTCTCCGGGCCCGAATCGACGAGGAAGACAGGGCGGGAATAATGCCAGGTGGTCGATCGCCGGATATGGACGATGCTGAATCTTGTCTCTTCCTGCCCTTTCTTTCGCTTCACGCGCATCCATTCGTTCACGCAACGACATTCTGCTGGGCTCTTCAGCACTCACGGCACCGCACACGCACGCATATACACGAACGCACGCACTCTGCACACGTCCCGGTTAATATTTACAGTACTCACGCGCGCCTCGCGCCCATGTGCCGCCGATCATACACGTCTTCGGTCGCATGGGGCGCGATGACTTTTTTTCCTTTTCGTAGGTTGTCGATCCGCCGCTCGCACATGTCCTCTTGCTGCTCCTTTTCTTTTCATTGGTTATCTACGCGTGCTGCATTGATACTTCTACGTACCTCAGGGCTTACGTATCTACTTCGGGTCAATTTGTCGTCGCACGGATCCTCACGGTGTCTCGGTCCTACCCACTCGTTCCTCGCTTACTCATCATCGCGCTCGCTCTGTGGTTGCTTGTTGTAATCATCGCTCAACAACCAAAACTCCTCCCCATATACGCACGCACTCGCATTCGCACCTTGCATACACAACCCCCCTCGCTACACGCACATCGAATCTACGCTGATGTCCCCCTCTCCCCCGTCACGCCTCGTCTGTAGCAATAGTAGAATCTCTGCACATCACATACTGTAATACCTCGCATTTTTGGCATTATACACGACGCGCCGATGTGCGCTGGGCTTGCACATACCATCCGATGTTCGGCTCGCTGTCCTCTGCCATCCGTATACCCCCCTCTGAAACCGCGATTCTCCGTTGTTGCCTTTGGCAGATCTGAGATACGCGTATACATCCAGTCAGTTAGGCGCAATGCTGGAACTCCGTGCTCCGTCCGCGAGAGGCGTGCAGGACGTGCCGTGGAAGATCACCGAAGAGATTCTCTGTAGTGGTCAGACCCAATCAGCTCGCCGATCGCAAGCCAGAATTCTCTGTCCTGGATATGGCCGCCCAGAAAGGTCACCGGGTGGCCAAGGTACATCTTGAATCTTCTACCGCCGCCTTGACCACGCACCTGAAATGCGGAAAAATAAACGGGCCACCGGGGATGGTTCTAGGTGCCGTCAGCTCCGGCTCGCAGTCGAATTCTCCCGGCTTCGTGCATGGGCTGAGATGTTCGAGTACGATCGAGCCGGACCACGTACAATTATTCGCTCGCGCCCGACACCGAACATAAAAACTTCCTGAACTGCAGCGTGTGGTGTGTACAATTACAAACCACAGCGGTCATCTCGGCGAGTCCAGGCCTGACGGAAGCGATGAACTGCCATCGGTCGATCGAGTGTTTGCGAGTTCGAGTCCATACTCGAGGTCGATGGCATCGGCGATCGTTCTAGCCCACGTCGGTGGCAGTGCTTACGAGGATGAGAAAAACCCGGTTGGGCGCTCGTGCCAGGGCGGACCAGAGTCCACCGTGGGCCTGAAGTAATAATACTGAGAATATTGATTTGCGAGGACAGGCTCGTACTCCAAAGACCCTGTGGCATCTGGGCGCAGGGTCGTCGGCTACAGACGTGGCCGAGGTTGCCGTCGCAGCCAAGGGACATGATTGTGACCATACTGGTACATCAGTTTTACGTCCAGGCTCGAGAGACGGCGCGCGAAGACGTCCTAGACTCACACCCAACAGCCTGAGGCGTGGTCCAGGAAGACACACGTTGGTACCGTGCGAGGTTCTGGAATGAGTTTGTTCGGTCAAGCGTTGCGTCGGCCTATCATAGAGCCGCAATTCGGAACCATGCTTGACATCTCGCTTCTCAGGGGCGGTCGTAATACGGCCAGGGCTGCCGCATCAGACGTTGTTTGAAGCTTTGTACACCACGTCAGAGGGTATACTGTCCATCTCAGCGTGCGGAACCACTGCGGCCGGATCAATAGGACTGTGGGCCTGTGGACTTGACAGCTCAGTACGTGAATATCAACTCATGCCGGGTTCTGCATGTATCAAATATTAGTGTGCTTCTCGTCGCTGCCGACTTCGCCACTCGGGAAGATTCGACAACTGGTTGACCCTCGACCAGATCGCCATCCTCATGCTATCTCCGTTCTTGTCGGAGTCGGTCAGGCGGGAGCGTACCTTCTGGTAAGGAACAGAAAGCCTTCTCACTACAGCACTCCATGCCACTGCGCCTTCGAGAGTTGCTATCGACGCCCAAAGACGGTTATCCCCAATGAATTCTAGTGGTATGTGGTGCTACAGTACTATATCCCGAATGAGCGACATGATCCCAAAAGCGTTGGGTCGAAAAGAACGAAAACGAAGGAGAGGCAGTGCTATCGTCTAGTAGCGTGGATAGTGGTGAGCGATGGTACATACTAATAGTGTAGGGATGCACAGCAAATACACGAATAAAGAGGGGCTGGAACGCGCCAGACCATGCACAACACGAGACGATACGTCGAAACTCAACTGCCAATCTCCGGTCCAAACAAAGTGCGGCGAAGTGGCAGCCTTCACGCGGCGGTCCTGCGGAAGCGGAACAGCCTCGGCTGCTCGCCCTCTGTCTGCGCGTACGCGGCGCCATCGAACGCGCCCTCCGAGTCGGCGGCGACAGTCGCGTTCGCGTCGCGCCGCGAGTGGCCCTGGTCCGCCGCGTACCACCAGAGGGTCGTGACCCCGACGGGGAACGTGTACGCCGCCTGCTGGCCCCGGAACTCGATCGTCGCGCTGACCGGGTGGGGGTCCCATGTGTTGTTGTCGTTGTCGTCCCAGTTGAGGACGACGAGCGAGTACCGCAGCCAGTCGGCCGAGTTCGTGCGCGCGGTGACGTACGCGCCCACGCGGAGGCCCCAGGACGTCCCGCCGCCGACGGAGACGCCGACGCGCTGCGCGAAGGGCCCGCCGGAGTCCTTGGGGGTGACCGCCTTGGACGCCGCCGCGAGCGCGTAGACTGTCCGTGAAGAGCATCGTGAGCGTCTGAGAATCTACTGATGGACCATTCCCGGAAACTTACATTCCTGGTTGAAGGTGTAGCTCCCGTCGCTGTTGATGGTCACGACGGGCCTGCATGGCGTGCTGCAGCTGTCCGAGCCGGGGGTCTCTGGCTGGCCATTGCCGTCGAGGGTGAGCGTCCACAACATGCCCGTCTTGGCGGAATGCTCGGGGGCGCCGATCATGACGTTGTCCATGTACCACTTGATGTCGCTCCACCAGTCGGTGCCGTATTTGCCCGAGCACTCGGTGAAGTAGATCTCCTTGTTGGGGTACGCACTCTCGAACGTGTCTTGGTTGCTCACGTTGCCGTCGTAGCAGTGGAACGCGACGCCGGCGAAGGCATTTGGCGCGTCTTGGAGCTGTCATGGTTCGATACCATGGGCATTTGAACAAGGAAGGAGTTGAGAAGGGTAGCAGGAATCAGGAAAGGAAAGGAACGCACGAGAGTAACGGGGTAGCTGCCTGCGTCGATCCAATTGTGCTCATAGCCAATTATCTTCGTGCTCGAAAAGCCGTTCGAGTCCATGAGCGAGCGGAGGGTCTTGCCAATCGCAGCCTCCTGCGCCGCGCTGAGGAGACACGTCGGGTACGTCGGGTTGTTATTCTCGGGCTCGTTCTGTCCAGCAGAAGACGCATATAGTCAACGATCGGGTGTTGTACCAGCACAAAGAACGGTAGAGCCCGACCTGGATCCCCATCGCGTAAGCTGTGATGCCCTTGCTCTGGAACCCTTGGAGGGCTTTGAGGAGGTAGTTTGCATCTGGAGGTGAGGTGGGGCGCCAAGCATTCAGTACTCGTTACACTTCACTATCGGCGACAATGCGACGCACATGTGGAGCTATAGGTATCAAGGAAGCTTCCGCCGTTCATGGAACCGGAGTCCTTCATCCACCCAGGCTAATTCAGAATGTAAGGGGTAGCCTCCGTTTGACATCCATAGTTCCAGTGAAGACTTACAGGCGACCAAGGTAGGAGATGTACTTTCAAGTACTGATTGACGCTCATGATGTCCTTGATGACCGAGAAGAGGTAGGAAGGCGCCGCATTGATGTTGAAGTTGTTCAGCGACGTATCACCGGAGGTGTCATCGAAGCTGTATACTGTTCGCAGAATGCATGCATATGAGCCGTGCGCACTGGAACACGACCAAGACTAGACGCGACCTACCACTGGCCGAGAAGTCAGAAGCACCAAGCGGCACTCGAAGGTAGGACAAGCCCGCGTTGGCGTTGTCGGTTGCTGCAAGAGCGGGATTCGGTCAGCCGAGTGCGTTTCAACGAAAGGCAAGAGTTTGTATACGTTCGAACAGCTTGTTGATTACAGCCCAATAATTATCGGGGTTCTGACTCTGAAGATAACTCGTTAGTGAATGCTATGTGCTCTACCGAAAACGAGCTATCGGACTCACCTTCAAGTTGTTCAAGAGCTGAGCCGAGGAGTCCGCTGGGCATCGAGCGTCAACAACCCGATATAAAGAGGAAGCAATCTTCCTACGCACTGAGGGTCGCCCCGAAGCCGGCCATGCTCTGCAGGACGTTTGTGTCATCGACGACAATGTCCGCGTCGCCTGTGGCACCCGGCGACACGAAGTCAATGGGGCTCGAGTCTAAGTTGGTATATGTGAAGAGGTTTGACCTCTCCCAGGTGGTCGCCCACTGGGAAGATAAGCGCTCGCGTGAGTTGGCTCAGCAAATGGAGCGACAAGTGGAGGCGCAGATAACGCACGACGTCAAAGATATGCTGACCGATGGCAACAGGCGCGGCGGCGAAAGCTGCGGCGGCAACAGCTAAGACCGCTGCGCGGACCATGGTGTTCCTGGGTCCAGCTGGAAGAGGGGGAAGGGGAGAGGTCGAGGTGCGCGGAAGCTCGGGATCGTTCTTGTTGGACGCATCTCTTCACGGTGGCGGGCCTTTATACTTTCGGCTCCGCGAAGGGATGTGAGCTGCGTATCCGTTCCGCGCCCAAATCTGCTGCACGAGGTAATCTGGATGAGGGGATGAGGCGGGTTGGACACGAAGGATGCGTTAGACTTCCGTTGCCCACTGACAACAGGGACATTTGATTCGGCCGTTACTGCATGGATGCAGTGTTCCAGGGACAATCATCGGACGCGCACGCTGCTAGACGCATGAGGCGATCGTCCCGTCGCAGCATGGTGGTTGACGCATGGAATTGAGCTGCGGTGTGTATGTACGAGATGACCAATGTGCTTAGTGACCAGCAAACAACCACCTGGCCCGAGAGGCGGCAGGTTTTTTGGGCCCAACGAGCGGTGATGTTTTTGTCGCGTCGAGAAACAAGGATAAGAGTTCGACTGGCGGTGATAGATGCGCTTGTACACGATCAGAAGACGCTCTAAAATAGACGCAGCTTGAGGGAAACATCATAAGTTCAACATGCTGCAGCGCATGGCTTGTTGTCAAGTGGCGGGAGCAGTAAGTACTGCTGGGCCGCTGAACAAGAAGACCAGTGCCGGGTGCTCAATGTGATATAGCCGCACGAACACGTAGTACCTGCCAGGAGAAGACCAGAGAAAAGTTCGCCCTCTGTGCATTCATGATATGATGGTCGTTAGCGAGCGCGAGCATCGGATGATATGGACTGACTGTGTTCCACGAGGATGGCGAATCTTCAACGACCAGTCAACTGGATGGCTCCGATTGAGCGACCTACTTCTATTACTTATCGAATACCACTATGACCCTGCCTAGGGGTTTGCAGTCCTCAAGAGAGGCCGCTTTCTCTAAGGGAGTGACTAGGGTAGGATGATCGACTGCGAGCGCGGCGACAAGCTATATGCTCCTGGTGGATGATGAAGACGGCCCGTGAACCGCATCTTGGGGCCGATTCGGCAAGAGAGTGCATACGCAGGATTACGAGGCGAAGGGCGAGCACAGCAGGATGTGCACAAACAACTTGAGAGCTCGTCGTCGAATGCAATCAACAAGGATGAGAGCCCAGGGGCGCTCTGCCACGTGAGAGCCACGCGAACCACGGACGCCCGATATTGCGGCCACGTGATCGCGGTGGCTGATGTTGGACTTGCGCGACGGACGTGTTCCCAGTCACCCCCTCCACACTTCCCTCACTCACCGCGCACCCCCAAACATACCTCTACTACACTCTGCCGGGCCACCTTCTACTTGGTCTGGCTTCCGACACTCTTCAGCACATTCATATCCACATCCACACGTTTCGCAGACTATCATCGATCTGGGTCCCGATTCGAACATGGCCCATCAGCAGAGACAACCTCCATACCCGAGATTTATCGCCAACTACCTCCTCGGCCACAAGCTGGGTGCAGGCTTTTCAGGTGCGTATCTCGCCCTGATTGGCCACATCAGGCACTGACTGGATGCCATAGGCGCCATCTTCTGCGCACGGAATATACACACCAACAAGGAGGTTGCACTCAAACTCCAGCCTATAGACGAGTCATGTCCAACAAACAAATACGAGCGTGGCTTTTACCCTGCGCTGCAAGGAGGAAAGGGTATGCCTACGCTATGGGCTAGCGGAACCCAGGGTCCGTGGGATTACCTCGCCATCGACCTCCTCGGCCGCAGCCTCGACTCATTACACCGTGAACTCATGACGAAGCAGGATGTGTGGGACCTACGAAGCGTATGTTGTATTGCTGTACAAGTGGTAGGTGACATCCTCCAATCCTACCCCAACCCCTTCTACAAAGATGCAAGAGACCTGGAGTTTGACTCTTTACTTGGTCCATCCCCACCCCTCTCCTCTCATGCACAGTCCTGATGTTGACATGTCGGATGCTGTCCTGCCCGACGAAAGATCGATAGGCTACGGTTCATGCATACCCGAGGAGTCCTCCACCGAGATATTCAGCTCGGCAACTGCGTCCTTGGCCTCCAACCTCAACACAAAACTATCTACATGATCGATTTCGGCTTCTCCAAATTCTACATCGACCAGCGGACAGGAAGACATATTCCCGACAGTAATGAGCCCAGAGACTTCATCGGCAATTACTGGTTCTCGTCAGTGCGCGTGCACTGTCGCAACAAAGGTGTGTTAGGTGGCACTTTTGTCTTCTGGACGTTTGGGAGGACGGAGATGAGGTAAATGACCGCATGACTTGCACTCGACACATGTCATGGACTCGATGGGTAAACCGGGTCACGGTGCAACCTCGGTTGGACCGGAACCGCCCGCAGGATTTGGCTCTGCCAATCAGGCATTGCAAGCATACTTTGCATACACAGGTGGTGCAGGTGTGGCCCGTGCATGTCGGAAGTGTCGTATTTCAGACGGCCACGGTGAAGCACTATTCAGCGCGCAGTGAGTACACGATGTGCGCTTTGCTCTCATGTATGCCGTACTCTTACCTCATACCGAGCGCGATGGATGCCCTTCATGTAGCGCATCTCGCAAGAGTCTGAATTGTAACCGTGACCTTACACCCAGCAGTGAGATTATGAGCGACTTTGTCGATAACATTCCATCCGTTCGCGATGATCTTGCTTTCTGTACACAGCTCGTACTGACGCGAACATCAGTGCCCTCACGGCGCGACGACATGGAAGCGCTCGCGCTCATGCTCATCCACCTCTTGACTCCCGGCGGGCTCCATTGGACGCGCAACGGCGTGCCAAAGACCGACGAGGCGCATGATCACCTCATACGCGAGAAGCGCAACGCACGGCCCGAGGACATTTGTCGCGGCCTACCTCCGGTATTCGAGGACTTTTTGCGGTACTGCCGCAAGCTCGACTTTGCGGCCATGCCGGACTACCAGCACTGGATCGAGGAGTTCCGAGATCTCGCGGACGAGTACGGCTTGGGCGACGTGGAGGAGTTCGTGTGGCCGTCGCCGTTCCCGGAGGTGCGTCCCGTCTTCTTCGTGCTGGCGCACGTTCGTGCGGGCATGCGTACTGACTGACTGATGCCATATTCCCGCATTTGCTTGTCTCGTGTCTTTCGGCTACGCGTGTGCGCCTGCTTCGCGATCACAGCCCACGGTGCGCGTGACAGCAGCGCCCAAGCCGACCGCACGCATGGACATGAGCGAGCTCAAGGACGTCCTGGACGGCCTCGCGAACCTCCAGCTCGGCACTGAGCGGCAGGTGCTCGCCGAGCGCAACAACCTCGTCAACCGCGACTCGCCCCCCGCGCTCGACCCGAACGTGAAGGACAAGGGCAAGGGCAAGGCCCCGAGCAAACCTGAGGTGATCGACCTCGTTAGCAGCGAAGACGACGACGACGAGAACGCCCGCGCCCGCGCGCGGACCAACGCGAACGGGGGCCGACTGACCAAGGCGGCGCGGCTGGCGCAGCTCTCACGCGAGATGGCGCAGGCGACGGACAACCGGGCGCTCGGGCGGCTCGTGCGCGAGTTCGCGGAGGTGATGCAGGAGAACCGGTCGAAGATGCTGACGAAGGAGGGCTTCGCGGTGCTCGACGCGCTGCACAAGCAGCTCGCGGACCCGTCCGTGTTCGTCGCGCCGCTGCGGACGAAGGCGGCACGGGCGAGCGGCGCGTCGGAGAACGATGTGGCGTCGGGGCGGGAGACGCGGCAGGGGAAGATGAACAAGCTGTACAGGCTGGGGCTCGAGGTGCGCGGCGCGGGGAGCAACACGCAGCTGGCGGGGATGGTCGCGGAGTTTGGGCGGGTGATCGACAGGAGCAACGGACGGACGGTCACGAAGGACGGGTTTGGGTTCTTGAACGCGCTGGCGGCGAGGATCGAGGCGTTGTCGTGAGGAGCTGGCTTCCGTCTGGCGGGGATGGTCGAGACGACGGGTTTTGTTCGCACTGGGTGTAGACTGAGCGCAGGAGGCGCGGACTCGAGCGTGGATCTATTGCTGTTGAGATATCTAATGTGTAGGCGTGTTGTCTCTATAGTTCTGTTTCTTGTTGTACATGAATGTTGTTCTGTCCTCAGTGAGAGCTCGAAATATCGTTGCGCGTATTCGGCCCGCCCCATCCGAGGTCGTAAGCTTGCATGGATTATACTCGCCGAACGAGAGACACGCCGTACGTAACCCATTGCGGGTTGGCAGTACCAGTGTGAAAGTGGGGGGTGGGACAAAAACCGGGCCCAGCGTCATTAACCAGGGTTGTCGTTGTCAACCGCTATATCTGTCCTGGAAGCATCCTCCGCGGGTCTTCGGATCCGCCCTTGGACCCAAACAGCGCAGACAGTTGCTTCCCCGAAGCTATCGGAGGCCCTCGAGGCTGGCGTATCGCCCGTCTCAAGGGCGTCTAGAGCTGCTAGTTGAGGATACTATCGTTCCTGTCGCTTGGCAGGCCCGGCGGCAAGTGAGGCAATGAAGCCAGCTCTTCCGCGTACCGCCGGTTTCCTATGGACTGGTTCCAAGAATATTGGCGTCAGCTGGCGAACGGAGAGGGGTCAGGTGGGGAAGAGACGTACTTCATGATGCTTAAAGCACGGCGAGAGAAAAGTACTGCGCCGATAATGCAATATAGATGATGTCATGAAAGCTTCAGCCCTTCACAGCTGGTATCGGACTTTGAAGTTGCCTGGAAATTGAGGTTGAGATTCGTGAGACTCTTTAGAGGGGTATCAAACAACTACTGTGCGGGATGGGCGCGACTCCTATTGGTATAGCGCAAAGTACGCGTAAGCACCGGTCGCGCAACTCGGCGGCCGTGAAGGCATATTTGCGATAGACGCTGTTCAACCAAACACCTGATCTGAGAGAAGAGGAGAATTCCGAGCCAAATCCGGGAATAACAGAGTTGTGTGATGCTCGTCCAGACGATGAACGGCGTCCTGGTGATCATCGCATGATTCCCAGCAAACGTCGTGAGAGCAGGAGCTCTAAGAGCACGTAAAAGCAGTCATGTCGTCAGACGAAGGTTTGAACGGAGACGGAGGAGTCATGATCATCGGATGATGGGAGGATACTGACTGTGAGTACAGCTCTTAGATAGGAAAAGTACGACTTCTTGTAGGGCAGCTTCCAACGTTCGATCAAGCCAAGCATGTTGCTCGTCTGGCGCTCGTGGAAATTGCGGAGCGCTGACCTTCTAGAGTCGGATGGTGGAATATTGCGCTCCTCCGGACTCCGCCCAAGGCACGGCGTGACGATGATTAATGGGGTAGTATCTGAGAAACGCGCACAAATGCGCCCACGGTGTATTTCACATGGGCGTGAGGGGCTACACGAATGATGAAGGGAGCGATGTCGGACAAGTCGGGTCCATCACGCCGCCGGAGGAAGAAAAAGGGCAGGAACGGGCATAGGCAGACATGGGTCATTCTTGCGACAGTTGGGGGGGAACGGTGGCTGCTGCTTGGCAGGAGGTTGAGACTTACATGGAAGAGCACAGGCCGGTTGTCAGAGAAGGCGCGCAGAGCGCGCATTTGCTTCCGAGAACCGCTGGCATGGGCGTTGGGCAAAGGTGGGGGACAAGTAACGACTGCAGATCGTCGCTGGTGGGAGGCGACGATCTAGAGTTGGCTGGACTGGCGACGGGGCAGCGCAGCCTATCAATCATCCAAGCGAGGCGAGGGGCAGCGAGAGTGGGCAGCGGAGGGAATGGCATGATTGGCATCGAGTAACCCCAAAGCGAACGTGAAGAGCTCTCGCCCGGGAGAAGCCGCGCCCAACCGGTCTCCCCATAAAAATCGGCAATCCAATTCGCCAACCCCGCCTCTCTCCTCCTCTGTCCCCCCATAGAGTCCCCATAGACGGCCCCGGCTCCTTAGACTTCCTGGTTCCTCCCCTTCCCCTCCTTCCCTTACTCTCCGGCTAATTCGCCCAAAATGTCGACAAAGACCTCATCCAAAAGGGTGACCGTCGAGCAGATCCCCTTCGTGATCCCGGATCTCACCGTGAAGGACCTGCTTTCTGCCATTCCGTGAGTACAACCCGCCAGATGGTGACTTCCGGTCCCGCTGACCCCACACGGCCCAATAGTGCGCACTGCAACAAGCGGTCCGCGCTCAGGTCTGGGTCCTATGTGTGAGTGTCCATCCCAAAACGCGCCTTTTGACGTGTCATCTCGCGCCATACTCACCCTTACCCCAGTGTGATGGACCTTGCCATTATTGGCGCCATCTACAAGGGCACGTACTTCCTCGACGCGCTTCTCACCCCAGGGAACATCGAGCTTCCTCACCCCGCTCTGTATCCTGCGGCGCGCCTTGTGCTCTGGGCATTCTACTCTTTCTTTGTCGGCCTTTTCGCGACCGGCCTCTGGGTCATTGCCCATGAATGTGGACACCAGGCATTCTCCGAAAGCAAGACCATTAACAACGCCGTCGGCTGGGTCCTCCACTCCGCGTAAGTGGAATGCGCTGTTACTAGCGCTTCTTGTCTCTAAGGGGAATGACCGGGCTGACATGTGATATCCCCCAAACCTTGCGATTGAATGCGCTCCTCTTCCCTCTTTCGACGCGTAGACTGGGCGTTCCTTACCACGCGTGGCGTATCACGCACGCGAAGCATCATGCTTCCACTGGCCACATGACGCAGGATCAGGTCTTCGTTCCCCGCACTCGTTCTGAACTTAGTCTCCCTCCGTTTGACCCCACCAAGGAGGACCTCGCCGGTTCCAGCGTCTCGGAGGAGGTTATGAAGGAACTTTGGGACGCGCTTGGCGACTCTCCCATCGGTGCCATCTATGGATCGCTCCGTTACCTCGTGAGTACCGTAGTTGTACGTAGTAGTGAAATTGTGACTGACCTATCTCAGGTTGGTGGCTGGCCCGCGTACCTCATCGTGAACGCTTCCGGCCAACCGCGGTACCCTAAGGAGACGAACCGTGAGTGTACCGGATGCCTGCAGGTCGAGCAGTAGACTAATAATTTCCCTAGACTTTGACCCTGCTGCTGTCATGTTCCGCCCTGACCAGCGCGGCCAGATCATCATCTCCAACGCCGGAATCTTCCTCTGGATGGCCGCTGTTGGGTACTCTATCTATCAATGGGGTTTCTTCGAGATCTTCCGTGTCTATCTTGTTCCCTACCTCTGGTGCGTTGTAAAGAACGCGTCTCATTGAACTAAGTGCTGACGTCATTTACACGTAGGGTTAACCACTGGCTTGTCTTGATCACTTTCCTCCAGCACACCGACCCCCTGCTTCCCCACTACCGTGCATCCGAGTTCACCTTCCCCCGCGGCGCCCTTTCAACCCTCGACCGCAACCTGCTCGGCGACTTGGGCCCGATCATGGGCTGGCTCGGTGCCTTTGCGACCCACGGCATCTCGGAGACCCACGTTGCGCACCACGTCTCCAGCAAGATTCCCCACTACCACGCATGGGAGGCGACCGACGCCCTCCGCAAGCGTCTCGCGCAGCACGGCATTCAGCTCGAGGGCCGTCCCGGTGGCTGGGCGGAGGTCTACCGTGTGTTCAAGGAGTGCAAGTTCGTCGAGGACGAGGGTGACATTGTCTTCTACAAGAACGCGTACGGCCTCGCGGCTACCAAGCCTGTGTTCAACGACAACACCGCGAGCGACTCGGGTATCGAGATATTCGACAAGGAGTCGTAAATGTTGGCGTCCCTTCTTCGATACCTCCGTATTGTCCCTCCATCCGCTCGCTGCTCGCATCATCGCTGTTGATACCTCGTCCCTCCCACCTCGCAACTTTCCGTCCTCTACTGTCCACGATTAATCCCAAACAAGCACATGCGACATCACCCACTCAAAGCCGCTCATACACAGCTACTGTCCCCCCTCTCCCCTCGCACGTAAATGCATCTAGACATTGGCCACGCTGTTTCTCTTACTGCATAGAAGGAGTTCGTGCGTCTCGGCCGCCACGCCGTGTATGTGGGGCAGTGGTTGGTCGTTCGCTGTGCGCGCGCGGGTGCATCGGAAAATGCGCTTGTAGGACGATGTACAAGAACGAGATATTCACGGAAGTAGGCTAGAGAGCGCAGTAATGATATAGAATTCAGAAACAGATATGTTGGCACGCGTGTGGTGTGCCGAGCGCGCGATGTCGGTCACTGGATGCGTCAGGTCAAAAACTCGGGTAATGTGAAGTCCATCTTGTAGAACTCATCGAACGTAGGGCGTAGGACATACATCCTGTGGAGTAGTTTCCAATGAGCAGCTCAGCAGCGGACGAGGCTAACACTTGCGGCGTTGTTGATAAATATAACCCACACTCATGGACTGAAAGGGGTACCAAAAAGAGAAAAAACCCATGAAGATACAGTGGACTGCCTAGTTTTGGGTTGGCATACAACATACGTCGTGATCATACCGGTCGGCGGTCTCGCGGGAATGGGCGTGAGGGGTAGTGGGAGATGGTTCACACAACAGAGCAAAGCAGAGTGATGATGATGGATGATGAAGAGTGCCCAAACCAGCAGAGCGCAAAACCGCGTGCGCAATCACCAGCCTACTAATCTTCGGCAGCAATGCAGGAGGCAGGGAACGGGACCGAGCATCTACTCCTCATCCTCCTCCTCTTCCTCTTCTTCCTCATCCTCCTCGGCCTCCCGAGCCGCCTCGACTACTGCGGTCGCGATACGGTCAAGATCACGCTGACCGTCCTGGGAGATACGGCGACCGCCGTTCTCCGTCTGCTCGAGCACGCCGATCTTCTCGAGCGACTGGCAGATCTTGCGCTGCACGGAGGCGGACGCGTCTGCGTGGTGCGAGGGGCGGTTACCGCGGCGATTGCGGCCACCGTGGAGCTTGGTGAGGGCACCGATGCCAACGTCTTTCCGGAGGTAGATGTGTCTTGCAACGGCGGCTGTTCCAATAAAGGAGAGTAGGAGAAGGAATGAGGATCGTTGAGGCATGGAGGATTAATGAGAATGCGGAAGTGGAAATGAGGGCACGGAGGTTCGAGAGATGTCAGAGATTACACAGGCATTCGCATATACATAATCGAAGTGTACGGACCTGCGCGGACGTAGTACCAATCGGGGTCGTATGGTGCAAGCTCCTTGAAGGAGCCGGTTTTGACAAGGTCAACCCAGGTGGGCACCTCAAGCTTGCCCGAACGCTTGAGGTGGGATGCGTATGCGGAGATGAAGGCCTCCGCGCTGTGGTAGGGGTACCCGCCAAAGGTCGGGTCAGACGTCCGTTCGCCGCATTATATGGAGCAATGTGCGCACCTGATGTCTCGAACGCCCGGCATTTTGAGTGATGGGGAGAAGAGAAGAGATTATCTTGAGGACGGGGCGGAATACGGCGGGCGCGTCGTTGGCGGTGGTGTGTGGAATGCGGCAAGCGGCAAAATTGAGTTCGAAGCCAGCCGTCAGTTCTGTGCAGTTCTGCGCTTAGTCAGCCTTCCGATTCAGGAAGGCGGCTATGCTCCACCTAAGTATACGTACTGGCGTGCATCCTTGTAAGGCTGGGAAGAGATCTGTTGTCCGAAGTCCTCTTGCTTCCTACTTCAAGGTGATCCGCTCGATCTCATGATATGCTTTGTCATGATCCCGCTGGCTGTTCGTTGCTCGGAGCTTGTCCCTACTCCCCACCGCGGTAGAAAGTGTCAGTGCTGAGGGCTGTTTACTGATTTCTTGACCACTCGACATCTGACAATGTTACGCAGGCCTCCTGACAGCAATTCTCGTCAGTGATTGAGAAATAAGGTGAGGCTAGGTCATTGGGCAAGTCCGCGCTAGGCACAAGGGCGATGAGCGGTAATATGGTTGGTCGACTTATATCCGCACCAGCCAGTGCATTTGGCGGTAATCTACTTACACGCAGTAGCTTCTACATCTTCTACATCTCAAGGGCACTGATAGGTCGCAGGCTGTCGTCCGCGTGCAGAATTGAGGGAGGTATAGGCATTCGTCCGAAGCCATCCGCCAGGTGTCAGGGTTTAATCTGGTCAACTTATAGTCATTGCTCACACTTCCTCCCACTTCTCGGCATTATGATTATGGCTTTTGCATAGTAATTCCGCATCCTACATGTGGAGCCAACTACAGTGGACAGTACTTGTTATGCGTCAAAACAGACTCCCATATACTATTTGGTGTCTTGTGAGTCATCAGTCTCCTTGTCAGACAAGCCGCTGATATGCACCCGGTGCTCCTGACGCTCTCTCAACTTAAAGTTATGTTCTCACAATGTGCCTTAGAATAGCTTCTTATCGTCAGTTTGATGATTGCGAAGGCTCCTAGTCGTACTTATAGGAGCTTCGACGAGTCGGTGTGCGGGGCATCTCCCACCTAACGGTCTTGCTTCTAATCCAGAATCCCAAGACAACGAACTCGACGGAGCACTGATGGATCCTCTACCTGCCTTAGACAATATCTTCGGGGCCATATTCGTGGGCTACAGCCTTGGACTAGCGTTAGCGGCTTAGCCAAATGCTTACTCACATCACGCTGAATTTGGCGGTCCCAGAGTATACGGGTCGAACCTTCAGCAATCATACCGATACTTTCGACTCCATTCAGCTGATCGCTGGTCGTTGAAGGCGGTGGTACGTCTTGCATCGCGTTTTTGTGTGCGTGACTGTTAACCTACATCCGGTTGCATCAGGTCGTATTACTGCTGTGAGCCGATTCACTAGGACGGTTGGATATATGAGTGTGTATCTCACATCGGTCGTCAGTGTCCTGGACACAGTCCATATGGGGACAATCGCGCAGATATTGTAGGTCCCCTTCTGACGCCGTGAGATTCCCTGATACGAAACATCGCAGGTACCACTACTTAATCTCCAGCTTCTTTGATCCTTTTGCGCTGCTGACCAGGAACTGGTGAGCGAAGTGAAGTAAAATTCTGGTCGTGCGAGCCTCTCAGGACTCCTCACTCGCCTCCGCTTTACAGGTGTACATTGGTACGTTTCATCAGTTCACACTGGCATGTCGAATGCACTATTGAACGCGCTCCTTTTGTCACGCAGACCATGCCGCTCTTCTTCGTAAGTCATATGATCGCATTGCATATACGTTGTATGTGATGCAATGAGAGACAATAGGACGCAACCGTCGTCGTGGCCCAAGGGTAGGCATGCTCCTCTGGATTCTGCTCGCACAGTAGCTTCAGGCTGACCAAGCTTTGGGTAAGGTTCTATGTCCGGCGAATTTACACGAGTGCGTCCTAGCAGTGCCGTTATTCAGAGTCCACGTCATCATGACCTTCAACGCATTTTAGTGAATCGCGGCTACCGCCCTATTCTGCTCCTCATTGTGAGTTCGAGCATGCACTCGTCGGAATGGATATTGAAAATGTCCACAGGTCGTATTGATGCTGGTAGAGTCGAGTATGTATGCGCAACCACCGAAAGTCATTCAAACTGACATGAACTCGGACTGTGTGCGAAGGCCTTGCCATAGGTCAGTGGGAGATGATTATCTTAGCCGTGCTTCTATTGATGTCAGGAGCCTTCAGCATCCACCAAAGTGGCGTAAGTTTCGGCACTTCTCCTACTGCAGTCTGGCGTACAGCTGATAAGAGGCTTCCAGGTTTGGTCTCGCGCCTCTGTATTCTCCAGATCTACAGCTGTCATTGGTGAGTCATGATGCCTAGCGGCAGGTCACGGCGCGTACCATATCCAAGACTGGCCACGGGTGCGACTGATCAACGTCTGATAACTGTCGTGAATATTTGTAGTGGCAGCGACTCAACCTCGTGGGCATAGCAATAGCTGTCCTAACCGACCTACTCCTTGCGAGTACCCTAGTGTATATTTTGCGTAGAGCGCGCACAGAGTTTAACAAGTTTGTCTCAAGCTGGCTATTGGCTACAAGTCCTAATCATCATGCCCCCTACAGCACAAATTCGCTACTCGATACGCTCATCGTCTACACTGTGAACACCTGTGAGATCCACCCAGAATACTACGTACCCAGATACTGACCATTCCCTATGCCCCAGGTGTCTTGACTGGGTGCGTTTCCTTCGGTACTCATACTCATGGGCATAACATTGACGGTCACAACCCAGCGGCTTTCTCGTGCTTGGCTTGATCTTCGTAAGTCCTTGAGACAGCTTGCTCCCGCAGAAGTTAATTCGGGCGTGCGTGAGAAGCTAGCTGCCTTTCCAGAAACCGACATTTTCCTCGGATTCCTCATACCGGGTGCAAGGAGTATGGTCTTCCACTCGCTCATTCTGGCGTGTATCTGAGGCAGGTATCCTCTTCTGCAGCGTACACAGCCTCCGTTCTAGCAGTGTACGACGAAAATCCTTGTTCTCATTATGTATCGTTGCACTGACCCTTTCCGTGGACAGTCTAAACTCCAGGAAGTCGCTGTCTGAGCGTATCATGAAGACAAATGATGCCGGAACGTTCGGATTGGTAAGCTTCAGAACGCCCAAATTATCTGGAGGAGCCATCATTTCGCCTGATTCTGGTGAGGTGAGGTATTTTCAAGTCTGAGTGCGTGATCAACGGGGCTGATATTGTTCTCCATAAAAGAACCTGGTCCATCGCACCTCTTCCATACACTTCCAAAACCTGGACTTTGTCACAACGGGCACCGAATTCAGGGATTCAACGGGAGGGAACCAGAGCGTCACCGATGTATTCGTGAGCTGAGAGCTGAGCGGCGGTGGCAGTCGTGGCATCTGAGTCCCGCCCTTCAGCGGTACAGAAAGACTCACTTTCTCCGTGTATCTCTTTATTTTTGTACTTTATGAAATTACTGTGGATCTGAGCCGGTTCTGGACCACAGTGGGACCAATCAAGCTGTCGACGTAGCTTGCCGGGTCGTACGGCGACACCAGCGCCTTTCATGGGCGGCTCTCCACCTGGTTGCAGTTTTCAAACGGTAACAATATTGTGACTGCTGGAGTCGTTAACTCTACTTAGCCCGAGTTCACCTCACCTCTTCGACGTTTATAGCACGCTAGGGGTGACCTTTCAATTCATGGTCGTGGTTCATTGGATCTCAGAGGGAAATATCAGTCCATCTGTCAACATTCCTACTGTCTACGCCTGGCATCTCAGGACTGCGTGACGGCGGGTTACGTTGCGGTGGTAGTTGTTGTAGTTGCGGGGCAGGGAGCTGGTACGTCGAGTCTTTTCTCATGGAACAGTCTATTGACCGTGGTCGGACAAGTGAAGTCTTCACCTGATCAACCGGGGTTATAACGTTCGATTTGAGGTTCCCGAGAGACGTCCCGCCTCTGGTAGGGCTTCTTCCGTCCCGAGTTCTAGATCCGTTATAGAGCGGGACAGCTGAACCCACAATGAGGCACCGGCCTGTGCTCACTTGTGTCACTGATCCTTCTATCGCCATATTGTTGACTGACACCGATTGGGACCATGTCAGATGCCGAGCGCCACCGATTCGCCGTGTACCTAGGAGATAGGCGTTCCGACTTTGCGGCCGGTAACGGTTTTCTGCTTCATCTTTCTCGTGAGTGGCGCTGCGAGCCTATTTCGCCTCAGGCATTTCAGAGGGCACTGTTGTAACTAATTCTTATTCTCCCACCACACAGGCCGACAGCCAGCCTGGCTGTCGGCCTGTGTGGTGGTAACGTGCCTCATCTGGCAGATGAGGCACGTTACCACGTATGTCCGAGCTGTCGAACTTCCGCCGCAGTATCACAGCGTGGCGGCCGGCCTTCCTTTATGACTGCCAATGGGAGCTGACCACATAATCGCCTGCTGTCCGAAATCAAGGTCAAGTGGTCAGATGTTGTGCATCGTCTGCTACGTAAAAGCTCTGCCGATGTCTTGAAGGCGCATCTCTTATGGGGATGCACATAGTGCACTGCTGCTCTTGAAGTGATTCTCAGCAATCTGTACAGACGGAATCTTGAGTTACATTACTGCATTCTCTCTAAAGGTAGAGTAGGGAGACTTGCAACACTTGATATCTCAGGAGAGCTGAAACGTCATCCGCATGTTGTCCGCAAGGGCGCTCCTGAGACCGCGGCGTCCAGCTGCCTTTTGAGTTAGGAAGCAGTAAGCCTATATATGCCATACAAGATGTATACTGATCAATCTCTATCCCGCTTCTTTCGGCCACTTGCCACCCCCTATACTTGCCCATTCAGATCTCTTTCTGTGACATGGCGGCATCGGCCTCACCTCGACTAGACAACTCATTCGGGGCGGTTTTGGTGGGCAATTCAGTGGGTCTAATGTGAGTAATATCCTTCGTCGAGAAAGAGCGGATCAAGCCGACATACCCAGAATATATGGGATGACACTGCTACAATGCTATCGCTACTTCCGCCTTTATCCTGGTGACTCTTACAAGATGAAGGTTTTGGTATGGAGCTCTTCGCATCAATGTCGCCCATACAGAAGCTAACCGAGGTTGCAGGTGTTTGCATTCATGTTCGTGATGAACTGGTGTGTGGACATGTGCTCGCCCTCACGATACCATCAGGATGCTCGAAACCTTGCATATAATCGAGACGACACATACATGGTATGGTATCTCACCTTGCATAGCGGAACGAGTAGATTCTTAGGGATTCTGCACAGCTACTATTATCTCGTATCGAATTATTGCGAATCTGCCAAGCTTGGCATAGGCGTGTGGTGAGCATGGGGCAGAGTCCAGAAACTTTGATTGTCTGACACATAGAATGCCTATCTAGGTCTATACGAGTACGTCTCGTTAGCGAGTATGTGCTATCTAGGTGGCATATTGACCTGACACTTTCAGATCCTCACCCCGACGAACGTAAGTCCGGCATGAATTCATGATCGTGTTCATAGTCCCCCAGATTTTCTTATGTTCGAAGCGATCAGGGCGCAATTGTGTTTATGGCACAAATGTGAGTCATTCTTCCGATTTCAGATACCCGTCGTAACCTGGAAGCTTGCTAGGTTTTATGCCCGACGACTTCATTTACGTGAGCTGACTACTTCCCAATTTCTTGTCAACCATATTGACCGATTGACCTGCTTGTTTGTCTAGTGAAATCGTGTAACGGGGTACTTGTGATCATAATGGCCAGTCATTCTGTCATCGAACCCACGTGCTTCAGTGAGATTGAATATCATTTCTAGGTTTCTCTTAGTCTGATTGCCCTAGGTATGTGGCTCTCTGTGTCGTAATCCGCAAGGTCTGCTGTGATTGAGCTCGCTTCCTAGGTTTCACCATCAGTAAGATCGTAGTGCTGTCATAAGTCTCGATGCTGACCGTCACACCTCGCCAGCGGCCGCAGTCGAAGGGTCAGTGGCTCAGTTGCATCCATGAAAGCAAGCGAGCTGACTGGGTGACAGTTTCTTGCAGGTTTCCTTCAGAGCATGGCGGCACGTTGTGGTGTGTCGCTTCTCTGCTACAAAGGCTCCCCTTGTCATAGAAGAACTCTACTCCTTGCAGTGGATCGATGTGGTGGCCGTTGCAGTCAACCTGATGGTGGACCTCATGCTCTCCATCACGCTTGTTCTGTTCTTACACCGTAGCCGTTCTGGTCTAAGACGGTCAGCCTTCATCTGTCATCCCTCGTGTCTTGACGACTCATATCATACATTTGTCACTCTCCAGGAGCAATTCGCTCGTTGATTTATTGGTGGCCTACACTGTCAATACATGTAAGTCCTGCCTGGTTCCATCGTCAGGACCTAACCTATTGATCGAATGTTATGTCAGGTGTTCTCGTCAGGTAGAGTAGTTGATGCTGTGGCTATCTTACGGGTCATCTGACGTGATCATCCAGTGTCATGAACATACTGGTCTTGACATCTGCAAGTCCTACTGGTTATCTACTCATCACATGGCAAGACCACTCACGTTGAAGGCACCCAGATAATTGCATGGCCGAGTACTCTCATCTATGTAGGAATCAGCATACCGACAGCAAGAAGTATGGGCTGGTTTTGGTGACCATGGTGGAACAACTCTCATTCTGAATTCTGCTCGCCTTTGACAGCTTACGCCAACGCGGTATTAGCCGTGTATGTTTGATAATGTATGCAAGTGTTCACCCCTCTCACACGGGCACAGGTTGAATTGCCGGAAGTCACTAGGGGAACTCGCACACGAAACCTGTGACCTAGGGATGTTCAGTTCCGAGCTCAATGGAATGCAATTCAACAACTGCGACGTCGTAGATTCTGCGGAGACCCACCTAGACGTAAGTTTATGGCTAGCTGCGCTCGAGTCTTCGAACAAATCAATCCACAGTCGCTTCCGGGACATTCAATCCGCGTCGGCCTCTGCACTATAGATAGCGAGGACGCACAACTTGCCCCCAAGGGCGCATCAGGAGACTGTTCCACAAGAATCAAAGGGAACACCTGATGTCGTCACTACGACGCTCCATGGAAAATCGTCCACCGAGTGCAATGTAGGGAAACAAAGTTGTAGTTCAAGGGGGGCGCAAATATCCCATTTTGTTATGCTATATCACGTCTTCGGCGCTGCAGCGCTTCGCGTCATAGCTGAATTGAGCTTCTCCAGGCTGGCGTCCTCTCCCTTTCTGGGGCTGCAGACTGCAAGAGACTCGCGGGTCTGGAACCGCCGAGAACGCCGCAAGCATGAGCAAGGCGCATCGCTCGCCCTCACGGGTGCAGACAACCACTGACCTGTCACAAAAATGAGGATGAGTACTATCTTGGCCTTCTCATCAAGGAAGAATTCTGCGGCGTTGCACGATGCTGTGTTCAGCTCCCGGAAAGTCATTGATAATCACCAGGGGTCGTAATCATAGCAAGTTATGCTGCGGCAGGTCCTAGTAGTGTAAGGCTATACAACCTACGTTCGACAGCGGTATCCCATGTTTCCAGGCAGTGTAACCCACGAGACCTACGTTCTCGAGCTCGTTAACAGTATAGCATATAAAGCCACGTGTTGGATATACCGCATGGATCACTGGCGCGCTTCTCTTCTGCATACAGCTGTCTTCATGACTGGTGCGATCCTTTGGTATAGCTTTGGAGCCAAGATTGCGCAGTTCGGTTAACTGAAGAATCACGGTCGTCTACTATGTGGCCATCACAGGCGCTTGTCTGGCGTCGCTTCTACCCACCATGTTGCGATCGTGTGTATGCGACTCTGAAGGTGGTATGCCACAGAGCATTCAATTCTGACTTTTTTATCTCAAAGGAAACCTCTGTGTTTGCTGAATGGACTTGAGCACACAGGTTGGCTTTGGCGTGAACCCAGCATCCCTGCCACAAGGAATATAGCTAGGGCTCGCGAACGCACGTCGACAACCGGCCTATTCCTCAAGCTGCGATGCAGGCGCGTATCTCTCATGCATGCTCATGTGAACATGAAAACTCGAGTGGAACGGGACCAAGTATTCCGAGGCTGGCAGAACGTCAGCCTGATCTCCCGGACTCGAATGTCAGCCATTGTCTCTACGAGACCCATTCTGTGCTGGTACACGGCCGACGAGCCTTAGCGGCCGAGCGGCGTCCGCGATCAATCGGTGCTGTGAAGGTAAGTTGAACACCGGTGGAGGTTGACAGTCTCAACGCGACCGAGATCGTTCCCGGTCTGCCAGCCTCCTCCTCTCCGGGATGGCATATAAACCGCCTCGTACGCAGCCATCTCGTCCTCACCTACTACCATCATCTTCGTTCCACACCTTCGTCGCAAGCTCGCCGATATCCACATCCTCACTCTCCACTTCAACCTCAACCTCAACACATCCACAACACACATACATACATCACCCCCATCATGTTCGGTCTACGCGAGTTGTTCAAGTCCCTCTCCATCTCCCGCACCATCCATGTCCCTCACCTGCCCATCCCTCGTGTCCTCCACCCTTTCTCCTCGTTCCGTCAGCCACCCAGGGACAACGCCGAGACCGCCAACCACGTACGTCCGCCATACAGCATACATCGTGGCCATGCTTGCTTACTGTTGGGATGATGTCAGACGCGGATGCGGGCCATCCGTGCAGAGGGTGGTATTGTCAAGGTGTGTACCCTTCCGCCCGCACGTTGGGACTCGGGTCAGACGGTGATGTGATGTGTTGTACAGGATCTCGAGGAGTCACGGAAGGCGTTCAAGAGAGTCGTGTGTGGTCGTGAAACGGTCAAGGCAGCTGGGGGAGAGTATGGGAAGGGCAATGCTGTGTCCACTGGCAGCCCCGCTCCATCGTACAGGCCGCACCGGGTTCCTCACCGGACTATCGCTCAGCAGTCTCCTTCGCTCTCGATTTCTCAAGCGATGGCCCAACTTCGGATTCGGCGACAGGATGGGTTCACGGCGTCGTCGAAGCTCCAGACTGGTTTAAACAACGGACAGGGCCCGATGGAGGATATCATGCCTGCTCCTCTCGAGGAGGCCATGGAGGAGATTTTGCCTGCTCCTCTCGAGGAGTGTATGGAGAATATCGTTGTGGCCCCGCTGGAGGATGCTATGGAGGACGTGATCCCCGCTCCGCTCGAGGAGCAGATGGAGGAGGTTCTGCCCGCTCCCCTTGTCTATGCGCACCCTATGACCCACTTCTACTGGACTCTGGTCAACCAGGCGGCGGTCCCCCCACAGACGCCTCGTATGAACAGGACTCGGGATCGCGAGGCGTTCACTCCGGCATCGCCTCTGGCTGGGAAGAGTCGAGCTTCGCTGTCCCGGATCGCCGTGCTCCCTCTGACGCCGTTCCCTGATACGCCGGTCAAGCCTCGGCATCGGAGACGGCTGATGTCCGCTGGTAGCCCCTACTGAGGGGCAGCTCGGTCGCCGTCAACGACTTCCCACCTCTGGCCGTCCTGGCCTAGTCTCTCTTTGATAGAGGACTCGCTGTCTTCGCCGCTCTGAAACCCTGCACGAACAGCTGTAGCTCTCCTCCACCCCGAGGCTGCGCGGCGCAGTGAGGGACGGGCTCTTACTCGACGCTTCCACCTGTCGGCCTGTATGCTTCGCTGGCTGCGCATCGCCTCGCGATCCAACCCCTGTTCCATGCGTCTGCTCCCTCCGCCTCCACCGTTCGCGCATGAGAGTGAATCTCCCTCACCTTCAAGCACAGATAAATTGCCTCATACCCAGGATTCACATCCCTATACCCTGGACTCGTATCCTGATACCCTTGGGTCAGCCTTTCCTCTTCTTGGACTCGCCCGCGCACACCAATTTGGCCGCATCTCAATATACCCCACGGATGCATTCCCTCATACCTCGAATTCACATCCCTACACCCTGGAATCATATCGTTCTATGCCGTCTCTGTGTTTCCGCCTCTGTTTGGATCCGCTCAATACCTATACCCCCGATCCGGATCGGAGACCTCCGCCCAAGTACCGCATTTTTCGAGGCCTGTTGCCAATGGAGGTGATAGTTGTTCTACTGGTGAGTGTCTTCTGTGCTATGCGCTTTGGCAAGTGCTCACGCGGGTCCCTGTAGGAGTCGCGAACGAGGGATGTGAGGTCGGCCCCATGAGTGCCAGACTGTTGAGGTTGGTGATATTATCCTTCGGTTTGCGCGAGTTCGCTGACGCAGTTGTCCTCGCAGATGGAGGAGACGTCCTCCGGACCAACAGTCTACTCAACCCCACTAGAGTATCGCACTGTTGAGGTTTGTCGGATTATCCTTCGTCTCGCGCGCGTTCACTGATCAATCTATTCCTCGAAGATGGAGGAGACGTCCTCCTGATCAACAGTCTACTCAGCCCCTCCCTCGTATTAGACCCGTAGGCCGTCCGAGTCTCGACGTCCGCGGACGATGTCGACGTGCTGCCCCAACCTGGGACAGGTATCGAACGACATGACCTGCGTCCTGTGGAACCTCTGGGTAGCCGACACCCGGGGGCTTCCTGGTACGATGCCTGTCTGCGTTCGGACCTGGGCAGTTCCCAACCATGCTCGGGCGGTCCCTCCTACTCCAGTGAAGCTTCGGTGACAAGGACAGCTGGTCTGTGGCCCCTACTGAGGGCTGGTCGGTGGCCATCGCTAGCTGAGGACAGTAGTCGACAGTCGATAACGACTGCTCTCCTCAGTTGGCCCCTCATCGACGCCCTCACCCGCCGCCTCCACTTGCTGCACATCACCTCTTGGTCTTGCGTTCCCCGTCTCTGTCCCTGGCTCTGCTCCCTGCGTCTTGCCACAGTCTCTAGGGTTCGCGTCTGTGAGTGGTCTCCCTTGCCTTGTACCTACACGAAGCCATGCATCCGGTTCGGCGTCTGCGCTCTTCTATCGGCCGCATTTCCACATACCCCATGGATACATTTCCTCATACCTAGGATTCAAATCCTATATCCAGGAATCAACCCCTGTACCCCGGACTTGTATCCCAATACCCTTGGATATGTGTTCCCATCTTTTGGACCCGCTCGCGTACACGGGTCCGGCTGCATTTCCATATACCCCACGGACATAGGTCCTCATACGCAGACTTCCCATCCGAATACCCTGGACTTGTATTCCTATACCTATACCCCGAATCTGTGTTGACGTTTCTTCTTGGACTCGCTCGATACCTACATCCCCCATCCGGCCCTATGTGCCTATTCGCCAGCATCGTCAATCTACATACATGCCCGCTTGTTTTGAGTCTCGTCTCTTGGCTTCGGTTTGATCCTATATACATACTGTACGAGTATAATTGACCGGTGACGTTCTACAGCGATATCCCATATTCCCAGGCAGTGTACCCCACGAGACCTACGTTCATAGCATATGAACCCACGTATTCGTTACACGCATGAAATCAAGCACCACTGGCGCGCTCGTCTTCTGCCTACAGCCATCTTCATGACTAGGGCAACACGCTCGGTATAGCTTGGTAACCAAGAACGCGTGTTTCGGTGGATCTGAACGCTCAACGAGTAGATACTGGCGTCCTGGAGATCGGACGCACGATTCGACTCCATCTAGCAGGACTCAACTCCCCGGGGTGATTCGCAAGTTTACACCAAGGCCACGACAGCCAATTATCGAAGGGAACAAACAGCGCACTTCAAATGTTTGAACGGCTTTGTTATGATCCCTCGATATTGGTTGCGAACCTAAACGCATACAAAACAGTATCATCCACACGCCTCCAGGGCGCGGGATATTCGTTCACCCAGCCCGAACCCCTCTCTACTGCCTCTCCGACACGACAAACTTCAGCCCCTCCCCATCAACAACGATTCGCACCTGCTCCATCGTGTCTACAACGAAGTGCGCACCGCAGTTCTCGATCTTCGACCTCTCGTGGCTCGTGCACACGGCGATGACCGTCGCTCCGGAGGCAACGCCGGCACGGATGCCAGACGGCGAATCCTCAAAGACGACGCAACGCGTCGCATCGAACCCAAGCTCCTTCGCGGCGAGGAGGAACGGGTCGGGTGCAGGCTTCCCGGCCTTAAGACGCTTGTCGTCGGCGGTGATGGTCACCTTGGGAGGTGTGATACCGACGCGCGTCATACAGCCGTAAGCTACAACGAAGAGCGGTGTGTCAAGAGAGGTTTGCGGATGGAGCATCGTGATGGGGCTTACCATAAGTCTTGGCACCCGAGGTGGCAACGGCGTAGCGACCCTCAGGAATCGAGTCCATGAGCTGCTTTACGCCAGGGAGGATGCGCACAGAGCGGTCGACGGCGGCGGCCTCGACCTGCCACGCCTCGAACAAGTGCTTCTTCTCGAGCTCCATCCTCCAATCAATCTTGGGCTCCGCAATCCCCTCGTTCTCCTCGTCCTGGTAGGTCGCGCCTTCAGCCGCGATGAGCGCAAGGCGGTTGGTGACGCGACGGACGAAGGACGGGCGGTGAGTGTGACCCACCGTGGAAGACGAGGAGGAATGCGGAGATACGACCCCGGAGCCAGACGAGCTGGTGCCCGAAGACGACGGGGTTGCGAGGGACGGGGTCGCGGCCCCAGAGGTGAGCGGCGAGACCTCGAGGGAGCCGGGTCCGTGCTTGGTGAAAGCGTCAGCGAAGAAGAGGATCGACTCTTCGAACGCCTGGACCTCGACGTCCATCTCGTGCACCTTGATATGCGGCTTGAACTGGGCGAGGTTGTCTACGGCGCGCTTGCCGTGGGTGGCAGCGATGACATACGACGGGTCCTGCCCGAGGTCCTCGGCGACCTTGCGCCATGCCGCCTCGACAGCGGCGATCGAGTCGGTCAAGGTGCCGTCCTAATGCATAAGCCAGTGAGTAGAAGACCATGAGGAGCAGAAAGGGAGGAACATACCATATCAAAGAGAACGGCGTCGGCGAAGAAGGTGGTCTCCTTGTTGTAAGACATCTTGTATATGTTTGTATGTGATAGTGAATGGTAATGGGCTTGGAGATATGATGGGATGAGAATTTTTGGTGGGGACTTCGCCACGAAAGCAGGTCCCTTTATACCTGTAGGAGGGGGGAGGGCGGATGTTGGACTAGAATAAAATCGCGAATAGTCAGCCCAACACTAGTGTGCGTCCTAGATCTAACGCAATCTAATTGTTGAGAGTCAGCCGTCCGCCGCAAGCAGAAGGTGGCCTGACAGGCCAATTTTCCCGCGGATATCCGCAGCTAGCAACCATGCTTGGTCGGCATCCGCAGAAAGGACAGGTACTACGCAGCAGAATTGGGCCCAGTCGCCGAGTTTCAGCCCAATGTCAGACCGACGAAATCTTTTCCGATAGCAAACAAAGAGACAGAGAGGCAGCAAACTTGTTCGTGTCCACGTAGTCCAGCATTATTCAAGACAAGACTGACCTGCGACGAGGGCACATTGCACTGCATGCGTCGCCGCTAGTGTTCTTGGCAGAACGCTGCCAATCTGCCAGAGGCAACTGCCAAGCGGCAATTGCCATTTTGCCCGCCACCGAGACCGGCAATTTGGTGGCAGATACACGGCGCTGTTTGAGCGCTTACTGTTAATGGAGCCGTTGCCGGTCGCCCACAGAGACAGAGTAGCCTCAGTAAGAGACAGTCCTTCCACTCCATCCTCTGTGGAGTGTTTCAATATAGCGGTATGTGCTATAAGTGGGACAATTGGTGGCCACCATATTGACTGGCTTGCCTTGAGAAGTCATCCCGGCGCCTGACTGACCGGCTGAAACTCTCGGTTAGATGGGAAATCACCCGTATGAGCGTACTCTGTTGCGGGAAGTGGATAGACAGCGATATCTATGCAGTATTCATGTTCTAAATTCTTACTAAAGAGCATGGAATATTTTCAGTGGTTTCAATGGGTTGTTCTACTCACTCTCCATCGCCAGAGGCTCCCCGGAGCGCCCGTGAATCTGCCAGTATTTGCCGGCCCTGGCAATTGCCATATTTGCCAATCTGCCATTTGCCAAAGGCCGAAACTATTCTGCCCTGTACACTAGTCGCCGCGCATCAAGTCATCATGGTGGTAGAGGATGCCGACAGACATACGATGCGAGAACCATCTTCTCTGCCTATCGAGCCAGTCGACCAGTAGAAGAAAGACCTCAAGTTCCAACGATGCAGAGACATGTGAGCGCAGAAGAGGCTGCAGCTGGTCAAGGTCGGAATCCCAGCTGACCGGAATCGGATCCAGACACTCGAGCGCCGACAGCCAACACGAGGCTACGGAACGCTGTGGCCTAGACTCGCCAGAAGCACCTTCCTCTATGTTACGTCCTACTTACTATCTTTCTAGGTCGGGTACGACCGGTACGAAGAGCTAGTTTTACTGGTAGTCCGAACAAGACGGCCATGTTCGTCTAATAACAACACGCCTTGTTGCGAACAAAAAGCCTGAGGCCCAAGATGAACAAACTGGATACTGAGTGGTGATGCTGAATGTGGGGGAATGTGTGACGCGCAACATACATACATGTTTCGAACGGAGTCTATGAGAATGAGTGCATGCAAACCGGACGGCAACAACGGGACGATGAGGGCGGAAAAACGCGAAAGACCGAGGCTGGAGGGCTAGATCGAGACGGTAGATGAATGGATACAGCAGCACGACGCGCGAAATCTCGCAGACCACATGAGGATGATGGTATGAGACAGGACCAAAGCGTTTTGACCAAGCAGAAGCAAGATGGGAGAAGGGTTGTTTTCATGGTACGGAATGGAAATTGGCTCGCGGGCCCTATCGATACGAGGTTCGGGACATAGCAGAAGCTAGGGACTACAAGTGCTACTGGGCCCTCGGATCATGCTAGGTATGGAGTGGCTAACGGCCAATGGCTAGTAAAGAAACGTCAAGGTCCGCGCGCGCAAGGATCAGATGGTCTGTGAACCCTACTCCCTTCCACGCTCCAATCCCAATGCTGACCAGATCGACACACCTGACAGGAGCAGTGGTGCGTACGGTCATTGCGAAGCATGACTAAATTCCAAGCCTGCCATCGGCATACTCTTCCTCCCGCGAAAGCGCGAAGTGGGAAGAAGGGTGTCTATACCGGTGTAGTGGAAGTAGTGAAGACAGCAGGAGCGCGTCACATGATAACAGAGACCCGACCATCAACAGTATAGCGGGAGGACCAGGCAAGGAGAAAACAGAGCAGTGGCGAACACCACAGGGGGTATTCGGCGAACCGGGGTATGCGGGGTAGAGGGAGGAAAGGTTAGGAATACAACTTGTTTTTATTTTCGTCTTCTTGTCTTGTCGTGGATGCGTTCACAGCGGCACATCGTAGGATGACATGTGAGGGACAGTGGTGAGGGTCAAGGGGTACAACACGGGTGCGTCTATGGGGAGGACTTGCAGGGCTGGCGGGCGTGCTGATGACTGACTTGGGTTAAGCGTCGGATGATGGGCCGGGAGGGACAGCGGGCGATGGTCGCTCCCCGATGCGAATAGATAAGGCTCCGCCGACGATCAGGCGTATGAAACACGGGACGTGCGCCTGCCAGGCGAAGTCCGTTCTATGACGGAAAGGCGGTGTAGGGAGATGTCGGACGTCGGGACATAAGGCCGAGAATGGATTGCCCAATGAATCTATGAGGCAACTGGTGTGTATGACGGACCGGCAGAAAGCAGGGAGCATAGTCGTGTAGGCCGCACGCATCGCGTGCGCAACAGAAGTATGCGTCGCGTCATGTGGGCTTGTAATAGATGGTAGTAATATACTGGAGGCGGCCACACTGCGTCAGTGATCATGTAAGACCCGTGCGAAGAAAGACAATCGCGTCAGCTTACCTTCTTCCTGTATCGGGTAGTATCTGCGACAGCGAGGACTCCATTGCGGATCGCACTCGTGCTGAGATGATGTAGGACAACGTGTGAAGGTACTGGGAGTACGCTCGCATCGTCGGAGATCCCGGGCCCATCCAGAGGACGTCCTGTAGGTTGAGCAGGAGGCGTTGGTGGACCCGATGCCTGCTGCGCTGCGAGCATTTGTGCTGTTACATCCGTCCCGCTGGCGGTGACGACTGGTAGATGCAGGGGCGGGGGAGGTGCAGCGGGACCGTTCGGCCCAGCCCCATCCTCCGTGGAGGCACCTTCCGCGGAGGTCATGCCAAGCTGGGTCGAGCGACCTTCCTTCGCACGGTCGCGCTGACGATCGCGAGCCTTCTCGCGAGTGCTGCGACGCTTGTCCCGCTCGCTAGTCCCTGTGGAGGAGCTAACAGGACCAGCCATCGCTGGAGGACGCACGTTGAGGATCAGTTTGTCGAGGTGTCGAGGGAGCGCTGGAGCAGGCGGAATGTTGGGAGTGGGGACCCCGCTCGCGGACGACGTCGGTGAGTCTGCCGATGTGAGGTAGGCCTCCTCCTCAGCGGCGGCCGCTATGAGCTCTTGAGGAATATCTGTTGTCCACTTCGCATCCCGTGAACTGCCCCCGGTGGGCCCAGCGCCTGTCGAATCCGACCAGAACGAGTTGAAATTGTTAGGATGAGTGTGGTGTGGGCTGGATAGGGGCGTAGCGAGCTGGGTGATGTTGGGCGGACTTGACGACGTGGGGTGGGGAACGGCGACGTAATTGGCAAGTGTCCCATCGCGGTCGTCAACGGCCCGAGGATAGTCATTCGTAAGCCTGGTCTGGTCGTCCACAATGAACTTGAGATGGTGTGTCCCGGGCAGCAAGGACACCATCGTCCAGAAGGTGTTCGTCTCGGGGCTAAACGACGAGTGATCTGAGAACAAAACGGATGTGAGAATATCGCGGCACTCACTCGTATTCCATCGGTTGCCGCCCCTGCCAATTGTCGTGACCAGCTCGGATCAGCACGACCTTCTTCCCACCACCTCTCCAAGTGATCTTGTAGTTGACAGGCTCCAGCTTGTGGCCGTCCTCTTCAGCTTTCATGAGCGCGATCGGAATCGTGCTATGCACCACCTCGGGCACGAATTCGCTCCTCATGGGCACATCACTGCGCGGGGGGGAGTCCTGGACGACCGTGCTCTGGAAGGAGCGCGTGGACGCGAACGCGCTGAGCGAGTGCTTATAGCGCGAGCGGCCGTCAGCCATGCGATCGATGCGCGCCGCCGACGGCAGGTTGTTCTGCGGGCGGAACGTCTGCGGGGGTGGGTTTCCTGCGGTGGGGATTGGGATCGGGGACGACGCGCGCGGCCGCCGGTGCGCCGGGTGGGGCGAGACCGAGACGGACGCAGGCGTCGAGGAAGCGGGCGTGAGCGTGAGGGACGCCAGATCGGGGAGCTCGAGGGACTTCTTCTTGTTCCGAAGCGAGCGGTGCACCCTGTGCGAGGTGGACGATGACGGGTTGGGAGAGCCGCCGCGAATAGGCGAGTGGTGGGCGGAACGCGCAGGCGAGTCAAGGCGGGAGTGGGCGGATTGGGGGTTGGAGGATGTGTTGCCCATACTAGAAGAAGGGCGCGGGCGATTTGTGCGGGAACAATTCGAGCAGAGACGGGGGCGACGGACGCTGGTGCTGGGTGATGGGAGAGAGCTACTACCGGGGAGGAGCCGGACGAGAAAAGGGGATCGGGGATCTGCAATCGAGGGGATCAGCGACGTCCTGGTGTAGGAATTTGACTATCTAGCGAGGTCAAGAAAGGCGGAGCGACAAGAAGGGCGGGGAGGTGGTAAGAGTGGCCAGTCGCACAAAAGGAGCTTGTACATACATTGCTCTTCCGCTACTGGCCGTCGATGTCAGACACACAAGCGACTACTGCTGGGTCAATGATCTTGATGACTGGGGGGTGCTTGTACGCACTCACCAGGCCCCACCACTGACAGTCTCCTCTCTTCTCCTCCTAGAACTGTGCGATCTGCGCGAGCAGATTCTCGGCGAGCAAGTGTGGCCGAGAGGAATGGATGTGCGAAAGGAGGAGAGACACGGACAATCCTCGAGGTCTGGGTGCACAGTCAGCGATCCGCGCATACACCCAGCCCAGACGCCCGCTTTCTCACGCGCACGCCCGCCGCCCGCCCTCCACAATCACCTGCTCCCCCTCAGCTGTCCAATCACAGCCCGCGCACGTCAAAGATCCCGCGATTCCTCCTCCTTAATTAATTAATAAGTAGCTGACGCCGCCCCTCGAGCCACTTACCGCATCTACTTACCGGGCCACATACATAGCACAAGACGTCCCTACGACCATCAGCAGTCTTACGTTCCTTGCGGTCTATCAGGTGCGACATCATGCGCATCGCAGTCGTGCAGTTCGCCCCACAGGTACTCCTGCACCGCCCTCCGCTATCCTTTTTGAGAACTTACTGATCTCGAGGCAAACCATCAACATTCTGACCCAAGATCGGGAAGGTGCAAGAGAACATAGACAAGGCACAGAAGCTATGCGACCGGTTTGTAGCATCCCACCTTCAGGCAGAGCACGACACGAAAGCATCATGACAGACTACGACCAGACTCGGTCGACCTCGTCTGTCTGCCCGAGATGATATTCACAGGTACGTCACAATCATCCTTTGCAGTGTTCAAATAATAATCACTAACCAAAAGCCTTCATCCTTGTGGCACCCGCAGGCTACGCCTTCCCCGACGCCACCTCCATTTCTCCGTACCTCGAGGAGCCCCGCGTCGGGCCGACGTCCCAGTTCTGTGCCGCCCTGGCCGCCCGGTTGCGCTGCTACGTCGTCGCAGGCTACCCCGAACGCTTGCAACCTGAGGAGGTGCAAGCAGTACTCGAATCAGACGAGCACGGCGGCACGAAAGAGGACGAGAAAGTCGGCGCGAACGCCGCGGCGCTGTACGGCCCGAACGGCGATTTCGTGGGCGACTACCGCAAGACGAACCTCTACGAGACCGACATGACGTGGGCACGCCCAGGTGCGCGTGTGGTGCATACACGGGGGCCTGTCCGCCCTGTCGTCTTTCATTCCCTCCTTTCCTGCGCGTTGATCTCGACTGATGCTGACGATGGCTTGCGCGTGTTCCGGCGGCGGCAGGCACGGGATTCACGACGTTCCACCTCCCGCCTCCGCTCAACACGGTATCTCTCGGGATCTGCATGGATCTCAACGTCCGGCCCCCAGCGATGTGGGATCTTGCCCGCGGGCCGTACGAGGTCGCGGAGTATTGCATCGCGCAGAAGACGAACCTCCTCGTGCTGCTGAACGCGTGGCTCGACTCGAAGGAGAGCCCAGAGGAGGACACGGACTGGCGGACGATCAACTACTGGGCGCTGCGCCTCAGGCCGCTTTGGGCGAAGGTCGTCGAGGCGGACGTGAAGGCCGAGGCCGAGCAGGCTGACGGGAGTGATGGCGACTCTGATTCGGACCCTGCGCCCGACGACAAGGCGACGAGCTCGGAAGGACGGAAGGCCGGAGAGGAGCTCGTGGTGGTGGTATGCAATCGCTGCGGAGAGGAGAACGGTATGTGTGCAGTCCTATTGGGCGTTGGCGCCAATCGATTAGACGTTCTGGGGTAGACTGCACATTGAGTGAAGCCGCTCTTCGCAGACCAGGAGGCGAACAGAAGGCTAGCTTCAATTTCTGGACGTTGATGTCCAAGACTGGAGATTGTACAAAACGCCATGCAGTTCCCGAACTCTCGTTCCACTTTGGCGTGCAGCTGCAGTGTACTGCCATACGTCAAGAAATATTATCGCGAGGCTTTAGCTGACGGGTCTTTCGCAGGCATAACTTTCGCGGGATCGTCCTCCCTATTTAGTCTCAGACGAGGCGCAGGCAGACCGACGCTCCTGCATGCGATGAAGCGACGACAAGAAGGCATCGAAGTCTGGACATACCCCAGAAGCTAAGGCCTAGCCATTCCAAGTACACATCATCGTGAGTGAGGGTGCCCATTACGCAAATTGTCTCCATGGCGCTGACACCTGGGTCGAGAAGACAATTGTATTAGAGCCTGGAGTGGTGCTGTGATCGCTTTGCGCAGAACGCGGCGATTCACATCCCATGTCGTTAGTACAACTCGATATCCGTACATCAGGGTCCGGCAGGACGGCGGGGGCGGTTTCTGTCAAACCTTACAAGCTGCGGCGTACACGTACCGACCGATTGTGGCACAGCGATTGCCTTGGACGCGTTTTTACGTGCCCTGCCCCATAGAAAACATTCTGGCTGCCCGCGCGCTGTCCGGAGCGGGCTTCCTGCGATGCCGCGATGCATAAACCTACGTGACTCTTTTGCCTCTCTGCTTGGAGCACGCGTACCAATCCGCCCGTTCCTGCGGTGCTTTATCCTATCCAGGAAGACGCTGGTGTGGGTGCTTCCCTTCGATGTGCGCAACTCGCCACAGCGCGTCCCTCATGCTATCCTACTCCTCGCGGTCGGGAGCAGTGTGTCAATCTCGCTTCTGCACAAGCCTCGCCTTCCCGGATGCAATAGTTGTGCAAGAGCTCGTGGTCTGAGCAAGGACGGGACAACGTTAAAGAACGGTGCGCACAAAGCCCGGCGGCGTCGCAGAAGGGCTCCTTGTATCGACGTCGACATTAGTCAGGCACGAGACCAAGGTTCCATGGGGAGATCCGCGTTGATTTTGCCGCCCTGTAATACTAAGTCTAAGTCCATCACGCCCCGCCAACGGTCTCGGATGACAGGAGGCTCGTCCGTAGCACTGTTTTACTGAGGAAGGCACTGTTCAACACCAGGCGTCCCCCGGGCCCCTCTCTAAGATAGAACAAACGAAGCGGCATGTGTCATCATCGTCAAACCAAGGTGCTTCGATCGTTGCTAGCGTTGAGAATCGTGGAAGCGTAGGAAGTGGCAGGGGGCTTTGTCGAGGGGTGAAACAAGCTCTGTTGTTTGTCACCGTGCGACTGATAAGTTGGCTATAGTTGATCGTGGGCACGTCCTACGCCAACATGTGCATGTGGGACACACAGTGTACCTGTGAGATACGGAACGCATTTAACTCGGGAGTAGACACTCGGCCTCGGTCTACGGAAGGGATCAGGTTTAACACAACATGCGGGGCAGATAAGCTCTCGAACCGGGCAGAAGGTCGAGCACGAGTCGCGAGCGGGACTCGACGACGACGTCATTGATATTGCCACTGGACGTACGATCCTCGAGACTCCCTAAAAGGGACAGGCGTTTGATATACCAAACCGGAATATATTGGTCCGCTGCTTCTAGCCGCCTACGCAGCCGGGAATGGGGGCGGACACGAGGACGCATCCCGTGGCCTTCTCTGATGACTGACGTGAAACCGAAGCCGGCGCAGGAAGTAGGGCGGAGGGGGCGACGGAGGTATGATAAACACGTCGGGCGGCAGGGGCTAATTACCTCAAGCTGGAGGCACGGGCATGCGGCATGCCGCAGCGTCGGACGAAGAGTCAGAAGCTGCGACACGTCGCGATGGCGCAAGCTCGTTTGGCGCGTCTGACGGGTGTTCCCGGTCAGGAGGAAGGATGAGTGTAGCCTTATATGGAAGGAAGATCTCCCGAAACGGAAGCGTGGCGGGGGCGTTGGCCGGCGTTGAGTAGAGTCCTCCAGCCAAGCCTTTCGAGGAGTCTCCGATGGAGAGCACAGGAAGCATACAATGAGGCTGTGGAGGCGATGTCGCAAAACGTACGGGGTGTCGCTATGTTTCTGGATATGACATGGCGATGATATCGACACAGGTTGGCGACGGGGGCCGGACACGCGGAGTAATAGGTGGGGGAAATAACACGACCATTGTTGGCTGACAGATGATAGATGGAGACAAATGGGTTGCGCGGGAGAGGAAGACGAGGAGGATAGAAACCTTGATAGGGAGCGGCCGAGCGTGGGCTGGTAGTATGTTCATGCGGGGGCGTTGGCATGGAAGATGCGACGGAGGAAGGGCGAAGAAGGGGAAGAGGCAGTCGGAAGGGTGCCGGGTGCCGAGGGCGGGAGAGGGGGGTTCTGGGGTCCTGGACGAGTGGGAAGAAGGTTTGGGCGTCTGAGCGATCCAAACAAGTCAATCAACGCCACGCCGCCCAGAACGGCCGCTGTCCCATCTCCATTTCCGCCATTCAACGCCCCGTATCGGGCTCCATCGAACAGTCCATCTTTGTGTTGTAGCATCCGTAGACAATGATACCTATGCTTTTGCTTCGCAGCCGATAGCCTGTCTATGAGCGCGCGGTCATGCAATGTCGGCAGGATGTGTGTGAGGAGTGATCTGAACGGGACGCGATGCGTTCAAAGAGCAAATGTGGGATCGGACCAAACACCTGGCCGCTTCCCCTGGCCCCCACCCAATATATAGCCTAAGACCCCGGTTCATCTCTCCCCCTGTCTCCCATCTCCCCTTCCCTCCGACTCCCTTCCTTCCTCCCGCGTCCGATGAGCCATACGCCGAGGGCTCAGATGGCTCCTCCACAAGACATTGTCATGGGGCCTCCCCCGCTTCCCCCTCAGGCAGGTCAGCCGGGAGCCGGGAAGCAAAAGGAACCCGACGTCGCTGCAAAGTATAGCAGGCTGAAGAGGAAATATTTTGAGCTCGAGGAGGTGTGTAATCGCCCTATATTGTCGCGTTTGCAGACCGTTCAACATTGCTCGTCATCACCTCAATGTGCAATCTTCTCGCGATCGTCATTTGCAATTGACGCGTATGACCTGGCGGCTGTCTGTAGAAAACCAAAGAAGCAATGCTCCAGCTACGGAGCTCGGGAGAGCGAAATGTAAAGTGGAGGTCGGAAAGATCGTACGTCTTGGCTCTGTTGTGAAGTCTGGATGTCCAAAACCTCACACCGTTCAGTCTCCTCCTTGACCGCATCGCGGAACTAGAACTTGACCCGGCACGCAACCCCGGTGCCCCAGTACCCGACCCGCCATTCACGGCCTTCCCCAAATGCCTTCTCAACAACGCGAACCAACAGGCGTTTGTTGCTAACCTCCGCCTGGCCATTGATGAGCTTGAGCGCGAGGATCCCGACATCGACCCCCTCCTTTTGTCGCGTCATATCGGCCCCGCCGCGCGCAAAAGGCAGGAAGCGGAGGCAAGAGAAAGGCAGGAAGAGGAGTCGCGAGATAAAAGGTCGGCTGCGACGACGCGTAAACCGAGAGGTGTACCCCCTAAAGGCAAGGACATCGGCGCTCCTTTAACGTACGCCCCCGCCCCTGTCCATACCGCACCGCCGCCCACATCCAGTGGTCCTGGTCCAGTCCCATCGCCCCCCTTCGTGGTCTCGAGTAGTGGGACCCGATTGCGCCTCAAGCCTCCTGTACACCCTGGTGAAGGGCCTCCGGGTTCGTCGTCTATACCTCCCGCACCTCATCCTGGCGCTCAGCTCGCAGGCACTCCCCATGGTTATGTACGTCGACGCTCCGAATCGCTCTCGCCTGTCCTTTCGCCGCAGGAGGATTACGGCGGCATCCCTCCTGAGGGCCCCTCGCCCTCGTACCAGCACGGGGCCCCGCCCGGTGCGCAGTCGCAGATGCAAATGACGCTGCGGACGTCGTCATCTGCGGCCTCGCGACCCTCGGACATCCAGCGACACACGAAACCAAAACGTCTCAAGGCACACACCGTCACCACCAAGAGCTACAGCATTCCGACCGTTCCGCGTGACAAGCGCGGAAAGCCGATTCTACCCCTCAACGTGGGTATCATGACCGTTATCAACCTTGGAGAGGTCTGCATGAGGGAGCACTTCCACACGGAGAGGTACATCTTCCCGGTGGGCTATGAAGTAACGCGGTGCGTCTGCGTCTTGTTCGGGAGCCCAGGCTTCGATCTCGATGTGCCCATCATTGACGATTCGTCTTTCCCGGAATCTGTCGCGTGTGCCTGTCTGTGTCCAGGCGCTACTCATCTACGATCGACCCGAATGCTGAAGTAGTGTACCACTGCAAGATCCTTGACGGTGGCGACGGCCCCAAGTTCCAAATCACCGCCGCCGACGCGCCAGACAAGCCGATCGTTGCGGGCACCGCGACAGGAGCGTGGTCGGTGATCGTGCGCGCGGCAAACCACATCCGCAACCGCGCACACTCGAACTCGGTCTCGGGTCCCGACTTCTTCGGGTTGGGGCAAAACACGATCAAACACCTCATCCAGGAGCTGCCGCATGCCAATCAGCTGAAGGACTACGTGTGGCAGCACTTCACCGAAGGAGGGTGAGCGTCTTTCGCGTTAACTTCTCTCTGCGGCGCCGCGCCCTCTTTCCCTCCACGCCCCGTATACGACTAGTACTTCCGTGACTGTGTCATGCGTACGGGTCTACATTTGAGAGTCACTGCTGCATGACCAGGAGGGAGGTGGCGCCGCAGGGCACGCGGAAGGCATCAGATCGCTCACCTTCTCCTCCGTCCTTCCTCTCCCATGTAGACCCCTTGGCGGGCGACACGCTGCAGTGATTCCTGCGTTGCCAGATGAGCAAGATTCGCCCTCGCCGGGGTCTGGCGGCAACGGCAATGGCTACTTTGACCGCCCGGAGGCAGAGCCTATGCCTGTTCCTATCGCAGTGCCTGCTTCTGCTGGTCCTCAACAAGCGGTGCTCGGGAGACATGGAGAGCTGCAGATCATCCAGGTCGAGAAGGAGGATCCATCGCTCCGTCCTCGTCACGCCCCTCCACAGATAAACAATGGTCCTATGAAGCCCCTGACGTTCCACCAAGAGTATCCCAACGCGCCACCCGAGCACAGAGGACGCCGCGGCTCACGGCACAACAATAACGCGCCGGCATACGACGAGTACGCTGGAAACGCGATGCAGGTCGACCCCCATTCCCCTACGCACTCGCGTACTGCGTCGCGCTCGCCCGTCTTGCATCGCGAGCGCGTAGACCGCGAGCGTGAGAGGGACTACTACGATCATCATTCGCCGGCCCACCAGCTGCCTCCTCCACCGCTGCCGCACACCCGATCTCAAAGCTCGCTGCCTTCGCCGCATCATCGCTCCCCCTACGAGACGCATGTGCTTGTCTCGAACGGCGGGGAGTCTGTGTACAGGGAGCGCGAACGCGAGCGCGAGCGTGATCGTTCACCACCACCTCCGCCCGTCCCTGCTACCTTTGCCAGCATCATGAATGCATATCCCGCACCACCTATCGTGTCTCCTCCGACAAACGAAGGTGCAGGCGCGGACTACGTCAACGGCAACGGTGGCTCGCGCAGGAACGGTCACCCTTCGTACTCTCCTCCGAGCGATCGGTAACGCCTTTGGCCTGGCCGGTTGCGCCCAACTTGTCGCTCGGTCGCATTCGCCCTCAACCGCCCTTGCAAAGAACGCACCTCCTTTCAACTCTCCAAGCTTGTTTCAGCACCCTCTCCTTGGCAGTTCTAGGTCTCAGAATTGGATTTTTCTCTGCTCACGATCATGATCCGCGGACCACGGTCTTCGTCTCCCGCAAACCCCCTGACATGCTCGCTCTCCCTCCTGCTCTTGCACGTTGCAAATGACACGTTTCTCGCTTTCGGTGCTTGTTGTGTTCTTGGCGATCCATTCCGCCCTCGTCCCCGTTATATGCTAGATACCGCCTAATCTCTGTTGTCTGACCGCCCCGCTACCTCTCGCCTTCGGTTCTGTCTTTCGACCCGATGTGCGAGCGTGCGCGGCTTGTAATCATATCGTTGTCTCTGCTGGGCCATGCGCCCATCCGATCGACCCTGGCCCCCGGTGAAGCTGGGTTATGCAACCACGCCTTGCGTCCAGCCGGCTTGCTTCTTTTTATAGGTACGTTACTGCTGTTCATGTGCCTTACAACTCGCGTCGAATTTCCGTACATCGTCGCATATGCCTCCTAGCCGGTCTCCCCGTCAGGCAGCTCCATGCGTGTCTGCGCCGTCCTCGGGCGGCGCAGCGCATGTCGAGAGCGCGACCCCACCTCTCGGCGGAGACCTGGCTTGCCGCGGCCGCAGTGGAGCTGCGCGGGGCGGGCGTATGTACGCTCGTCCGTGCGGATCCTGCGGGCTGTGCGTGCCCGTTCGCGTGTCCTTTTGCTGGGCGGGAGGCGAGATTAAGGAAGTCGGGTGGTATTGATGACGAGCCTCAGTGGGGACTCCTGCCGATGCGAGGAACGTGCCGGGTACTGGGGTAGTATATGGGGCTGACATTCGCGGATCTGTTTTGCTTGTCTTGTTGTATGTATATCTGTCCCCGTATCATTCATTTTGCGACGGGAATCGGGGTGAGGGTTGGCTGAGCTGTTGTGCTCGTCATTGGGTTGCTCACGTTCCTGGGGTGCCCAGGTTGATACACGTCCGTGCTCGTTGGCACCCAGTGTCTACGAGACTTGAGAAGGCCAAATCGAGGGCGTTCAAGATACTGGACAAAAGTACTGAAGATGTCAACTCCCGTGTTTGAGCTGTAGTCGCCAGCACTATACCGGCCGGTTAGGAAGACTCGATTGTCACGCTTCCGTCGAAAGTCCATGTTCGTCAGCCCGTAATTGGCGTCTCGAAGTCTGGGAAAGCCGATTTCTCCCGATGCCCAGCTCACAGTCAATTTCTCGATCTTTTCACACCATGGCTTGCCATAATCCAGAGCAGCACTCTTATAAGTAGACTGTGGATGTAAGGGCTCTCTGGGAGTCACTCCACGCGTTGGGAGGGGGTTTTCTGGGCCACCCACTCTGTGCAGGCGGGGAAGTGGCTGTGCCGCAGCCAACGCCTGCACTTTCCGGTTTCTCTCATGTATTTTGACGCGATAGCTCTCACGTAGCCTAGCCGCCATCATAGCCGGCCACGACTACGACTATGGCCGTAGTTGCGGCTAGCCGGGCGAGGAAACTGAGATTCTGATGGTTTTGTACGACAGGAATCAGAGTCAGGGTTTGGCCGAGCAGCCCCGAGCTTGGACTTTATGTGGCTCGCCATTGTGCTCCTTGCGTACGTTTCCCTGGGGTGCTCAGGTCAACTGGCTTGTGTTTTGATAGCTGCCAGTCAGGATCGAAGCAAGGTGTTGGCATACATGTCCGAACGAATGACGCAACTTTCCCGGGCCCACGTTTAGCGATGAGTGCCTAGACTGCTAATCACTTTGACGTCGGGCACGGGTACCTAAGTACTTTGGGCTACATACAAACATCCGGTATGGTGCCTGCATCGACTGTAGCCAGCCGAAATGAGCAAGGGCCTGAAGACGAGTGTTTACTCGACGATCATCAGTCGCTTAACGTGCCATTCCTCCCGGCTTTCATATATATATGTAACTGTTGGTGGCGCCGTACTCGGGTACAGACAACTAGGGCTCTGGAGAACTACAATTAGCTACCTGTCAAGCGTTTCTGATTCCAGGGCAGCGAGACCGGCCGCCGGAGGAACGTTCATATTACGCAAGCGACTTCTACAGACAATGTTCATCGACGCAGTGCAGTCGCGGCGTGCCAGAACGGCGACAATGCTACAATTTTGGTACACGCATGTACAGTACGAGTACGAACAATGGTGGGACAGCTCCAACGCGGTATGAACGACGCCTCCGCGTTTGGTATATTTACTAATGACCGCAGAGGTCGCGGCAGGGCCCAGCTGTATACAGTAGAGGGAGAACGGATGGGCGGGGTGGCAATAACATGAACAAGGGTAAACAAGAAGTGGATGGTATACACATCCCGTCCCGGCAGCTTCAAATGCGAACTAGGCCCCAGTACGTACGAGATTTCTAAAGACGAGGTGGGGACATGGCCGCAGAGAGCGAGATCGAAGGCGCTTAACGGGACCGGGAGCAGAAAGCAAGAGGGTATGCACAAAGAGAGTCCGTTATTGGCAGCATAGACGACTGTCGTAAAATGCAAGATGATGGAGCACGATTAGGTAGATGAGCGCTGACAGAAGGACAGTACGAGGGCACTGGGGGAAGGGGAGAGTGATCGCTTGAACATGTCGAAGGCTTGGTGAATTCTAACACAACGCGGCGACTTGACCGGCTGGCCGTCGAGACCAGGTGAGACGCGTGGTCGTCGACGGCCAGCGAGACGTAAGGTGGATGGAGCATACTGTAACAATGAACAGACGCGTTGCACAGCAAGCCAAGGCTAGAAGCTGATATCAACAAGGAAGCTCCCTTGGCAAAGAAGCATCAACGACTCACTAGCAGCACAGTAAGTCGTACAGGGACGTCACGGCAGAGGTCACAGGTCATTTACATGGCGGCTCCGATGGTCGAGCCGCCGCTGAGCACGCTCGTGCGGGTAAGCACGGACGCCCGAGGCCCGACGTAGCTGCTGATTCGTTTCTTCGCCAGGAATGCGGGCAGCTCCTCCTCGACCGCCCGTAGGCAGTCGATAGGGATGAGGCCCCGAACGCCCGTCGTGACGTTCTCCACAACCGCCCAGCCATCGTCGAAACGGCGGATAACACGGACCTGATCGCCGACGTCGACAGCGATCTCGTCATGCACGGTGGGAACGAAGGGGCGGCGAACCATTTCGATAGGCGCGAAATGGGCTGGCGTGGAGTCTTGCGTGGTGGCAGAGCCCGGGCGCGCCTCGAAGAGGTCGGCGAAGGGGTTCTCGGGATCCGCGAAGGGGTTCTTTGCCTCCACCTCCGGCGTCTGCGCGTCCTCAGCGGTGAAGAACGCGGAGCCCTGGGTAGAGCTGCGAAGAGAGCCACTGAGGATCGCGGAGGCAACGCGGCCGCTCTCGTTGTCTGTAGGCGGTTTCGGGAACGACCAAGTCTCGGAAGGGCTAAACGGGCGGACAGAGAACGGCGATGGAAGAGGCGACCCGTTAGCAGCGGCGGGGGGCGCAACCAAGTACTGCGCAGAAACCTGGGAAGGCGGGCGACTGCCGCCGCTGGACGACGTCGAGTGCACGCTAGACCGGTCGGGCGCGTTACGGAAGGTCGGCGAAGAGGCGGATTCGACCGCATGGGAAACGGGGGGAACCGTTACGATAGAGCCGTCAAGGTCTGACGGCCAAATCTGCTGCATGGGCTGCTCGGCCTGCAGCCCGCCCAGATCGAAGGCGGGAGCAGGAGTGACAATCTGGCCACGGTCGAAAGTGGTGGCGAAGCTGCTCCGAGCAGACCGGGTGCCGCCACCGGCGGCGTCCTTGTCGGCGTACTCCATCTCCTGGCTGGCGCCGCCGGCGAACCATTCCTTGCGGCGGCGGACGCGAGCCGCAATGACACGGCGACGGACGCAGCAGAGAAGCAAGGCAAGGCCGAGCAAGATGCTCACGATCGCGATCGCGGCCAGAACGCCGCCGGAGACCCCGTGGTGAGCCGACGCAGCGTCAACCTCACCTGAAGGGCCTGCTGCATTTCCACTGTTGGTCGACGTCGCGGAAGCCCAACTTCCAACGGTAGTCGATCCCGACCAAGCGCCAGAATGCGTCGGGACAGTCGACTCAGCACCGATGCTGAGGGTGATGCCGCCAGTTTGTTCTGCACCTGAGCCCGCCGTGGAAGTGGAGACGAACGCTTGGCCATCTGCACCAATAGAGACGGTGACAACCTCAGGCTGTGAACCTTCGACATTCTGCGGGGTGTCTCCGGACGCAGAGGGGGCGGAACCTGCAGAGCTGTTTGAAGGGGTGGACCCAGACGAGGGATCGGACCCCGAGTCAGAAGACGCGTTCGCCCCAGAGGAAGGACTCGAAGGACTCGAAGTTGGTTCCGAAGGGGAGGGCGTGTCGGTGCCAGACGGATTGGGGTCCGAGCCGTTAGCAGAAGTGGAAGAGCCGTTACCATCTCCGTTGCCTCCATTGCCGGTCTGGGGCTCGCTGGTGCTGCTGGGAGCGGCAGTCGTCGGCGATTGTGGGTTGGATGGCTGCGTAGTACTAGGTGTTTGGTTAGGATGTGGGGCTTGAGTAGGGGTCGCGGTCGTATGAGGCGTAGTCGACGTGTGCGAAGACGCGGCAGGGGGGCCGCCGATCAGTAACGTCAGGATGGGTTCGAGCAGTGGGATGGACGGTAACGAGAAGGGTAGGTCGATGAGGCTAGGGTCGCGCTCGACAAGTTCCTCCACGCGTCTCCTCCGGTGCTGCATTATACGAGAAGCGCCGTGCATCCTGGATGGTGGTGGGTGATGCGCAGTTGCGCTGAGGGTATACCTTGCTACTCCGAGATAAAGGAACGTAAATCAAAGGAATGTGGTGTCGGCCAGCTTGACGCTGTCGACGGGACGTCGGAAGTAGGAGGCAACAACGCACAAGCCACCGCGATGGGAGAAGGAAAGAGGAGGGGAGGCTGAAGGTGAAGTCGGGTGCCGGGTGCCGACGCTATAGGCACCGACCGCGAGCGCGGTCGTGAATCAGATCTTGGCTCGCCATGTCGCACGCCATTATTCGAGGAAGAACCTATCCGCGCAAAGTGGAATCAAGATCTCCTTCCGATTTAATTCTCCTCCCAACCACTAGCCGAGAGATCGATTATGCTGGTAACTAACAAGTATACCTTCTGCTCGCATGTGTCGCTCCTCGTTCGACCTCTTGAGAGCCATTGACGTTACGCCGCCGGTAGTACGCCTCAGGCTCTGGCGCTGTCGCCGGTCAATTCCCGTCCGGCCGCAATAACGAAGAAGTGCGACTGACGGAAAGGCCGCAGAAGCGAAGCAACGTGTCTACACCTCCTGTCAACGCCAGACAACGCGAACCATTGGAAGTCCAAGCACACCGATGTATTTGGCATTCCTTGGCCGCTCTACGATGGCCGTCCGTCCACATGAGCATCTCTCCCGTGCCCGCCCGCGCGACGTCATTGCAGGTGGACTCTGCGGTTTGGATGATGGCATCTCGGCGTGCCTTGCTGCCGTTGCGAAGGACTCGACATCTCCCGTAACGGTCGACCACTGCGGCGGCTCCGCTCGGACGGTATGCGGCAGTTTGCGTGGTTTGTGGCCGGATAATATTTGCTAGTCGTCTACGCTTGCGCTCGAATTCGTTCGAGCTGCATTCAAGCCTATTCTACAGGGGCCGAGGGGAATCGAACACGCGCACTGTATGAAGGGCGTGCGAGGCGCGTCAGCTTCGGGGGGGAGCATCTCCATGGCGGCCATTCTTCGATGGGAAGTCGGTCCTACTAGGCAGCAGGCGTTCACACGCGGTGCACGAGGGCGGGGGGCAAGCGAGCAAGTTCAAAGCTGCGACTGGGCGGGAGAGCAGGTGTAAGAAGAAGAGAGGACAAGGTGAGACCGACTGGCAACGTCTCATATACCCACTTGGACAGCTTCGGATGATGATCCATGTCAGATCGACAGGCCCTGCGACTGCGATGGTACCTCTCAATTCCATCCTTGGTGCTTCAGCACTTCGCGCGGTGCTATTTGTTAACTCTCATGGCTCCAACAAAGGTCGAACTCTCCCGCGAGCTGTCATCGCGACGGATAAGACTTAAGAGATCTAGACAGCAAGGCAAGGCAATGCATAGTCTGAACAGATGACAGCCCGCGCAGGCAAGAGAAGGCCGGAGTTGGAGTCATCACCGACGCCGCAACGCCTCCGGGAATTTGGATACTATACGCTATGCGTGCAAATCCCTGTTGTCATTCTGAGGTGCCGAAGTACCTTGCAGGCTATCCACCTGCCCAGTGCGAGCCGCGCTTGTTTGACATATCATAGGGAAGGTAGGTTGTTCGAAGCCAAGTGCCTGAAAATCATTCAGGGACATGAAACTCTCGACGGCTTCAATAGTCTTTATCACCGGTCTCGGCTACCTAGACGAACTCGTGTGCATAGCAGTGGCCATGACGATACATGATTATCACTCGCGCAGTGTATGTAAGTAGGTCAGCGGGCACGAACTCCACAACTGCACACATGAAACGCATCTGCGCAGTGTGGCAGCCGTGCTCTGCAGTCGCGTATCCGCCGGGCCTGATTTCGATAGCAGCGTGGCTGATGGTTACAATGGCGCGCTAGCGCATTGCTCAGTTTGAACACCATCCCATTACATTGCTATAGCTAATTAGCAAGGATTACTCTGGGGCGGCTAGTCATATCGTGCATGAAGCCCATAAACATACGTGCGACGTTCGGCGTGGAGATACAGAGACGAGACTGGCGGTAGGGAGAGATATAAGAACAGAGAAAAGGGGGAGAGGAGACGGGAGACAGAGGACATAGAGACAGACTATTACACTTCACACGCAGCTATGTGCACAGACCCCACGGTGCTGCCGCTGTGCGTGCAAGGCCAAGAATGAACCAGAAAGGAAAGGTTTTACGAACTGTCCGGTGATGTATACCAGAAAAGTTGCAGTGGGAACAGGGGAACGTGGGATGAAGACTGTACGGTGCGGCCATGGGAAGCCGAGAATCGAATGGGATCTGATCTACAGTCTGCAGGACGACCTGTCAGCGAACCGTGGTGTTTCAAGCAAGAGATACGAGGCTTACCCGGCAATATGTGCGATAAGACTCATCTCTGCGAAAATATCTCGGTGATCGTTCGGCGTCGTTCTTTTCGTTGAGCAGAATACGACACGGTAGTTGCCAAGCTCCTTCGCATTGCGTCGACGGGACGTTCATCTGCACGACTGCCCTCCAACGACGCCCTGGGACGAGTGCTGATCGTCCTAGCGCGCGAATCCCTGTCTCTGTCTCTGTCCCTCTCCCTCTCAGACTCGGACCCAGACTGGGAAGACGAGATGGGGGCTGCAGGAGCAAGAACTGGTGCTGGAGTCGGGTTAGTAAACATGGAATTGTATGACACCTTGCGATTCCTCGCACCCCTCTCATGCTGTTGCTGCAGCCCGCTCAATGTTGAGGATACCGACGTCGCAGTAGCACGGGAGAAGGTCACGCCGTTCGTGCGCGAGGAGCTACCCGACTCGCTTCTCAACATAGGGAAAGGCGGCGGGTTGGCATCGTAAGACGTTGACACCGTAGCCGTCGTGACTGCGGTCGTAGGGTTGGGAGGCTTGATAGATGGAGTGAACGGTGAACTCTCGGGACGGATAGTGACGATAGAGCTTGCAGAGATCTTGCGCCTGCTCAGCTTGTCCGCCGCGGTCGTGGATGCAGTGTTGCTCCTGGCGATGAGGGACTCTGAGGGCAATGTGGGGAGAGAAGGTGGTACAGCGAGAGGGGGTAGCGCACGACGATCGGGGAAGGAAACATGGGACTGCCTAGAGATGGGAGTCGGGGAGGGCTCGTAGTCGGCGGGACTGTCGACCTGGCCAGGACTGAAAGCAGTCGTCGTAGTGTCTAGGCGTTCTCGCGGAGTGTACAGGCGACGCGCGGCGGTGGTCGGCGCTGAAACGGGGGCAGCTTGACGGACCGTGGCAGGAGTTCCATCGTTGGCTTCGGCTACACTACGGCCCTCGCTGCTTGAAGTGGCGGTGGAGCTTCGCAACATGTTCATAGACGATGGTGGACGGGACCCGGTTCGCCCGTTCCGCTCCAAACTCGACAGTCTCGCCACGAGCCTGCCGGTGTCCTTGCCGGGTTCCCAGCTCCGCCTCGCCTCCCGACTACGACGACCATCCGAGTCGCGACCGCGGCCGTTCAGCTGGACCTCGGGAGTCAATCTCCGCGCCACTTCCTCGTCGAGACTCATTGTGCGGAGATGCTGGCTGCTGGAGGTAGTTTCACGAAGGATCTTCCCAACGCCCAGCAAAAAGCCAGTCATGTTCCGCACGACTTCGTCGCTGACGCGGAGGTTCTCCCTATGGTCCGACCCTACCTCGCGCCACAGCTCCGGGAGGTCGACACCGTCCTTGTAGTCTGCGAGTTCGGCGTCGATCTGTGCCTCCAAAGCCTTGTTGGTCCCTTCTTTGAGCATAGCATTCAGCTTGTCCAACGTATGCACGAGCTGCTGGGCGCTCTGAAAAACTTCCGGGATAGTTGAGGTAGAGGTCTGACCCATAGGAGGTAAGCGAGAAAGTTGAGACTCGAACATGGTGAGCGCCTCCAGCATCAGTCTCCGGTGGTCAGTGCTTGCCTCTCGCAGGCCGCTCTGGACAGTCGAGGATCGAATGGTCCCAAAGGGCGAAGACCTGTCGAGAGGTTGACGTTTGAATTCCTCGAGGTTCCTGTCAGGGAGTGCGTACGTCGACTTGTACGTACGCAACGCAGGCGGCGCCGTACGTGGGGGTGCGGGATCATCGTGATGGAGAGCAGCCATGGATGTACCAGGGCGAGCTGCCGTCCCGCTGAGAGGTCTGACCCGGAGACTCGCGTGCATCGGTGTCTTCGGATTATACGGAGGCCCTACGCCTTCCTCGACTCGAGCGTCTCCTTCCAAACTTCGCCCATAGCTGGAGTCTCCTTCACTGCTCGATATGATTGAGGAGTCGCCGCTGGATCGCGTGCGCTGTGCCGCCATCGGAGCTGGCACGTGTCCATTGGGGGAAGTGAACACGTCCTCGTCTCGCCTTTTGGTGAGGCCAGCAGCCCTGAGTCCCTCGCCGATCAGACTCCTCCCTCCAGCGGTCCCTAACAGACCTTCAGAGCTCCCTGTCCGGTGACCTTGACGCCTACCGGGACCATCGAATGATTGATCAGGTTGCTCACGGGAGGGAGACGAGAGGTCTTCCGACATCCACCGCAATTGATGTTTTCTCGTGAGCTCGCGTACAGTGGAGTACCTAGCTTGACCTAGTCGTCGAGGCGATCCTGGGGGATCTGAGGTGGATATGCGAGTTTTGCGTGGTGAAGGAGAAGCACGTCCAAGCTCAGCACGACTGGATGACCGGCGAGGCGTCGCTGGCTCGTTGCTTGTCACCTGTATGTACGCGTATTCGCGATGAGATCCCACGATTCTCTATTCAAAGATTACTGCCTACCTTCTCATCAGACAGCTTCCTGTCTCTGAACTCTCGCGGCAAAAGCTGTCTGCCCTTCTTTCCGCCTGTCGGACTCCTCCGAGAGGAGGCCACGGCAGCCAATGCAGCAGCGGTAACGTCCTCGTCGTCTGAACGGTAGTGCCCATAGCTCTCATCCACGGAGTGTGCCACTGAGACGCGCTTTCGAGGCGTACGTGATGGTCCTGGCGACTCACGGTCCTTGTCTCGAGCAGCCGCACGGGCTTTGCCTGGGGAAGCTGGGGCGGATATGCGGCGTTGTCGGATCGATGAAGCACCACGTATCTCGGGAATGGAAAACGCGGAGGGAGGAGGGGTTGTTCTGCCATCAGAGGAAGTTGAACGGGTCGAATGGCGCTGGCTTTCGCGCTCTGTCTCCGAGCCAGAGAGTTGAGTGTCTCCACGTCGCCCGTCAACGGATGAGTTCGTCACAGAGGAAGGCCTGTTCTGAGAGGAAGACAGCCGCGAAGATGTGGCAGAAGTAGAAGATGATGAAGTAGAGCCAGCTGTTGGTGGCGACCGCGGGGATCGGGAATGGTTCGAAGGGACAGGTGAATTGAGACGAGATATTGAGGTAAGCTTGTCCAAAACCTACGACATCCCCAGCACAAGATCCGTAGATTAAGACCATCCAATAAGAGTGGAATCAGAGGGGTAGTGCACAACATCATACCAGGCGAAGAGTTCAATCGACATGATCGGCGGCGAAAATGGTCAATATATGCGTTTCTCTGAAGCTTGCCGGACGTACCATACGATTCCGCTGGGTCAAGCTCTTCACCCTCTGCAATGCGGATGCATTATCAGCACCTTTATTGAGAGAACGCCTCCGTTCGTCGAAACGCGCCGTGTGATCCTCATCGTTCTCGTTCTCGTCTGCGTCGTCCTCGTCTTCTATGAAAGATGACCTCTTCTTGCGGTAGTCGTAAGATCTGTCACCCACCCCGCCGCCAGACATGCTAGTGTCTGAGCTGTTGGGTCTGGAGCTGGGGGTTCGGTGACGGAGACTGCCGGCGTCAGTACTGCCTTTGCCGACACTTCCGCTCCCTGTGGAATTAGTTGCTGGTGGAGAGGGGAGGCCAGATGCGTTGGAGGAAGTGCTCGGGCTGGGAGGTTCGGGTAGATCGGGGAGGGCGGGAGGCGTTGAACCAGCAGACCCAAGGAAAATTGCCGACAAAGGACGAGACTTGCTGACCTGCACAGAGCGAGGGGTCATCGGACCAAGCTAGGCAGACAGATGCTCATGAGAGAACGAGAGGTGGGCTGAAGGAAAGACAAGGAGGGCGCCGTCGGCGTCGCAGACGGCGGGAGCGGGTGACGAATGGCGAAGAGAAGAGACAACTAACGCACAGGCGTCAGCCCAGCCCTCATGGCGATACTCGTTTCTAGGCAGCCAGCCTTGCAGATCTTGTCTTCGCTCTGCCCCCGCCCTTCCCTCTCTCACCATATTCTATTTCTCCTATCTTGTCGGCGACGCTACCGGTGCCAAGTGTCTCATTTTTGTCTTCGCGGCTTGTCTCTGAGTCTCCTGAACCCAGCTGACACGCCCTCACAAGCGCTGGCATCCCTCAACTCGCTCGATCGAGCAACCCTCAGACCTACACAGGCGTCGCGCAGTCTATCCGGACCCTGCTATCGACGTATGCCTTCAGATACTTCTGAATAATACCAGAGTTGGTCGGAGGAACATGGATACCAGCGCATGCTATATATACCACCGGTTTAGCCGTGAGGCCTTGAGGCCCGCCACCGTTCTCACCGCTAGACGGGAAGCTGCGGCATCCGTCGACTTCTCAGGCTTGAGCCATATAGATCGCCAAAGAGCGGAACAATTTTTGCACGTCAGTGCGGAACACCTCTTGTTGTTGAATTTCAACGTCTGCCATCCACGTCAAAAGTCAACAGATATGCGCTGTTGATGTTTCGCAAACCAGCTATGAACCGGTGCGTTCGTCTGCTACTTAAAAGAGGCTATCGCCTCGTCAGGACCCTCACGTGTCATTGATCCCCCTTTGATTGGACGTTTCGAAAGACAACAAATGCGGCCCAATAAGTATGGACAATGTGTAAGAGGACCGTCTGAGTTCTATGATGATCTGGAGGTTGGATATGTCAAGGGCTTGCTGGTGCTGGATACTCCAGGACGAAGCAAGCGAAGATTGAGAACCCACTGTACCCGAGGTCTTCAGCTGGAAGTCCGATAACTAGGTACATAGGAGCACAGACAGCATATGATCGCGATAGCTGAGGTAGGAGACCGCCTATACCGGAGCTCGCCCGCACAGTCGCAGACTCAGCGTTATGCAACGCAGCAGGCACACTATCATAAGTTCATCCGCTTCCTCGAGGCATCGACATAGCTTACAGATCGGAGGAAAGTAGCTACCAACAGAATACGATGATTTCGTCAGGTTTGGGCGTGGAAGCAAAGCAGTCCATGGTCAAAATAACTCAATGTCCGCGTTCGTGTCATGAGCCGTTTGTTGTCGTACCAGGCATGGGTGTGAGGAGTCCCATTTGCTGGAGTTGTCGTCGAAAGCAAACCAGGAGGGTTGCTCCCAGTTCAAGGTGTACCGGAAATTATACAGCAGCGATCTTGCCGTAGTCGAGGTCGTACTTGATCTGTCCGACCTCAGACTCCTGAGCGGAGGTTGTTACTCCTTGCTGCATCGTATGTATGGCAGCGACGCACCTTCGAAACTGGATTGAGCGCTGCCTTGGTAGTCTGCGCCTTGACAATGTCCTCCCAAAGTGCACTATCGTTAGTCAGAGTTGCCGTCGAAGAGCGGTGAGCGACGGAGCCTCTGTCAGATCGGGCCTCCGGCGCCATACTGCCCACAGTGTAAGCAGTGATAGCAGTAAGATCGGACTGGACACTGCGAAGCAATACTGAGGTTGGTCACACTATGGAATGAAAGAAATAATACGTACGTCAAGAGGATGCTGAGCGTGTACACTGCATAGGCATGTGTTAGCAGTGGCCCGAGCACAAACCCAGATAAGTTATAGTACGTACGATTTCCGACGATGAAGGTGCCCGCTAGCCAGATCATGTCGACGTCCATGATAGTAGACTGAATCGCATTAACGATAGAAAGCAAGCTGAAGTAACCCGGAGCTGAGCAGCTGACCATACGACGTATTCAGGATAGGCTTACGCGGCGCCGAATAGACTCTTGACGGTCCAATACTCGAACTCCTTCATAAAGGTCGTCCGGCCGTATCTCAAGGATTGCTATCAGCTGTCAGTCGTACCAAGAAAGACGACTGTGCTCACTTCTGGAGAACGTAAGGCTTTTGGATCGACACATAAGCGATAGCAGCGATGGTGATGTTGATTCCAGCCGCAATGGAGTACGTCGTGCACTCCGTCCACTGTTAAAATAACCATAAGTCCTCATCACATGGAAGTGTGAGAAGAGAACTGACAGTGTTGGCGTGAGTCACGAGAAGGATGTTCACAAACCCAAGCTGTTGCCTGCATGTCGAATCATCGTGAGATTCCGCAAGATATTTATCAAGGCATGCTGGTTCACGCTCACATCTGTGTGGCAGCGACTGTGTCGAGTCATTGAGTTTCAAGCGAACTGCATAGCGAAAAAAGACACTTACAGATAGCAATAGCTAGAGGGAAAGTGTCAGCTTCTATATAAATGAGTCATTCCAAGCCACTCACCGAATTGCGAGAGGGTGAAGATGAGCTAAGAAGCTATTGTTCAGCATGTGCAAATCTGTTGGGCCAGGAAGTTGGGCATTGTACAATCGTCAACGTGAGGAACATGCTTCGCATCACTGGAGGAAGAGTTAAAAAGAGGTGCACATTGTTACGCTGAAGTACTAACACAAGTCTATCCAGACTTATCACGCGGACTTATCCAAGTACGCGGTGTAGCACACGGGGGAGAGAGTATCGCACAAGTCCCTAGATTGAGGGATATAGGGATACAGGAGGTAACGAAGAGGAGAACAGAAGTGGGGAGCCTCTACCGACTACAGGCCTCCTTATATACTATGGGGTACCGACCGTATTAGGAAGGGAAAGGTAACCGACCAAAGTGGGGAGGTATGAGGAGACTGTAAAGGAACGCGTCTGGTCGAGGCTGGGCCCAGTATAGTACAAGACCTAGGTCAGGGTCCTGTGATATAACCGAAAAGGGATAGAGACGGGACAGGGTCCTGAGTCTAGGTCAGGGTCGGGCAATATAACCGAAAAGGGAAAGGGGCGCGACAAGGGTCGGGGTCTGGGTCAGGGTAAAGTAATGTAACCGAAAAGGGAAATGGTCAGGGTCGGAC